CGTAAAAAGGCAAACAACGGGGAAAATTAGAACCAATTAGTCGCGTCCCACCGGGTCAACCAATCCCATGGAGAAGTTCTCTTTTCCCGATAGGTGAAGAGAAGAGGAAATGCGATGTTTGGCTCAATGGTCACGCAGAGAAAAGCGGAAGTTCACGGCCGATTACGTCCTCGGCGAACCTCTTGTCTTCTCCCAGTTGGATACATTCGATCCGAACGAGATCGCTCGCCACCGGAAATGAGATTAACGTCACTTCGATATTCCGATAACACGTTGTCGATCTTTCCAGGCGAGAAATATCTCCCGCCTTCTGCGAAATTCAATCCCTCGTTTCTCCCTTCTTTATTCTTAGAGAAAAGCGTCGCTCTTCAATTTACCGTGAAATTCATCCCCGTTTCTGTAAATTTCAGAATAACCGTATCTTCGACGTAATTACGGAACGAAGTGAGCGCGGTTAATGAACCTCCTTATTCACGTGGTAAAATTCAAAGCAATTTAGTACATTCGGTTTGAAGAAAGGTTTTATAAATGATTGCCTCCTCGGACGTCACTTTCATATCACCTTAAGTTCTAGATTTAATATCCGCTCGGTAATACATTTATTATTGGGGACAAGTGCTTACAAGTGTATGAAATAAAGTTGCAAAGGACAAGTAAGGTATTCGTAGCCAGGAATGAAAGCTTCGAGGGTCTCTCGATAGATCATCCCGAGGGACGTCGATACGACGAAGACGTGAAAGAAGAGGTGAAAGGGAAACTTGTTGGTGTCGAAGGGACTCCTCCTCGTCGAAATTTCCTGACGGAATGTTTGGCACGACCTTTCTTTCGTTTACGCCCCCTAAGAAAAATTCAATGCTCTCGTCACGGAACTCCGGGGTGAAATCTGACCACGTATACCAAGGGGAAGCAGCTGCCCGAAGTTGTTGGGGTCACTGGAAGCGCGAACTCCGAGAAAAAGCTGAAAGCGAGGAAGACTACTGCCGTAACTTTTCAAACGAAATTCCGAAATGAAATTGGGGTTAGTTACCTTTTCACTCCTGATTCGGGAACACAGCCTTAATTCGCCCCGCGCATCCGCAGTTAACTTTAACTTATGCGAGGATTCAACAATTTAATTTGCATATCTCGGGAACAATTAAGCACTCCCACTATTCAGATAAAAGTCGCGCAGCAACGATTCTTTCCATTTTTTGTAAATAACTGCCGTGACATTTTAACCGACAAAAAATTTGGATTTAACGGTATTTACAATTTATTTTAGGGGCGGTGACTCATACTACTTAGAGATTTGTTTAATTAATATTGTACCGACAGTGTGGCATCGGATGAAGAATTATGAATTTTTTTTTTTATAAAACAAATTCACCGATCCATATTGTCCGCGTTTTGCGGCGAGACTTAATTCTGATAATAGTTTTCAAAATAATCCCTCTCGCGTTACGAGTGATTAGCACGAGTGATATCGAGTGTACATGAAGCATTCTATATCGAGCATACACCCCGTGCCGAAATTCGCGTATCTCTGTAGTAATACATATTAATTAATGCTAATTGATTTTAACACATATTAATCGCGGTCCGAACATTCCATCGCAAATTTGTATCTCGGTTATTTCCCCACTTGCGGGATTTAGTAATTATCCACAAACTCGGTACCTTACATTTTCTCTCTCTCTACCACTTTTCTGCATTTTGCACTTGCACCATTCACTAATTAACAATTATAGTACACCTCGCGTAAACGCGCCCACGTACGTGGGAATAAAATTAATACCACTCTGAAATTAAAACAATAGCCCGCAAACGTTTTGTTTTAATTAACTACGCTGTTTGGTATGAATTCTCCATGTACCAAAGTTGTTAAATTAGCAGACGAGTAATGTTATGAATTTTATGGTCAAAGCATGAAAAGCGTTTAATCAAGAAATTAGTTAAATTTACAGAATGAAATTAAGGGTAATACAGATAAACTGTTTTGAAAATCATTTTTTACAGTCCGTGGTTAAATTCTAAAGTTAAAGTACCAAAATTGGAGTATGTACTGGAAATTTAAAAAATCATTTTAACTAGATGCAGAAAAAATTGCGTGGCGTGATATTTGCCGTGAATTGCGCTGTAATGGCGTTTTCCGCCGTCATGGCGGACGCCTACATTCACACCGGCTTATCCGCAGAAATTCCTTCAAAAGAGAATCCTTTATGCGGAATAAAAATAAAAACCGTCGCGAATCGGGACGCCTGGATTTACGTTTGTACTTTCCGGAAGATTTTCCGAGCCCTTTCCGCGATTTTTCCTGACATTCTTTCAGAAATTGAAGCTGCTTCCATGAAAGATTAACAAAGGCTTCCGTTCTTACGTCGCCTCTTCCAGATGCTAATCAATAAAGAACTGACAATGTTAACATTTCAGAGGATAATTTTCTTTACGATGCCATCGCAAAAATGCTTTTACGAAAATCACTGAATTTCTATAATACCTGCTAATCCTTTTCCTTAATATGATTCTAATTTGTCTGTATAGATTAAATTACTTAGCGATAAAATGAAGAAATGGGAAGAAAGGGGAAGAGAAAATGTTCCATCAACAAATTCCAGCTTTTCGAATGAATTAAATGTTTCGTTTTAGATACAAATTCCCTGTCGGTTGATGAATTTCACATTTAGCCGGTAGGAAAACAAAGAATGGACGAACGGGCAAAATTTATTATCCTTTGGAATGAGAAATTCTCTAAAGAGGAATAAATCGAGCTCGCGGGATCCCAAGTGGTTGCATGAAAAATTAAAGAATAAATAATAGATTCACCGGTCGAGACGGAGCCGAAAGGGGAGACCGAAGTTGGGAAAAATGTGGGAAACGAAGAACGATGGAAAGAAAAAGAGCCAAAAAGGCGACTCGAAAGATAGGCGGCTACTCGAAATAACGAAGTCCTTATCGGTTTTCACGTTTGGCGTCGTTTTACGAGCAACTTTGATGCCATATCCGCCCTCAAAAAGGGTACAATTTCAGGCGAGTTCGAGGGATGCTTTGGAGGAATTTCTATTCATCTAGGGAATGTGCTAGAAGATTCCCTAGAGGAAGAATGGGGATAATCAATGCTGTAAAGTCGTTCCCGTTAAAAGTTAAGTGCTCGTAAGTTGACGTTAAATCCGTAATATAAGGCTCCCCTAATAACTTCGTCCTTGTTGCTCCAAGCGATATTGCGATATTGCGATAAGTCTGTCCTCTTTCAATGTCTACAAGAAATAGCAAAACGTTAGTCAGGCTTTTTTATGATATCGTAGGACAAAAAGTTCTGATAAAGATCGGGAAGGACGGACTTGGATCGGGATAAGAATTTAATAAAAAAAAGGTGACAAAAATTTTCATTAGAAAATGTTTTCTATATAGAAAAAGGAGATACGCCTCAAACCCACGCGACATTTCTGTCATGTTAAGGTTACATCCTTCGGGAAATACGAAAAGGTCGACATCCTATTTCCCTCCTTTCTATTTGCAAAATCTCCGAATTGAGGTACTCCGTAATCTTGAAATGAAGATATAAAATATAACAAACTAATCGTCGATAAGTGCATTTAATTTGGACGTAACAATGACGAAAGATATTCTGCAGGGAATGTATGAGTGCTTGATTTTCATATTGCGCATTTTGTAGCTTTATCAGACTTTTCTCCCGAACACGGCTATCCCCGTTCCCATCAATCAAATCTAAAATGGCGCCGATAATACCCAATAAATAATTCATGGGCTCTTCAAGAGGTGGAAAATCGCACCACGATGTCGTACGGTATATTCTCTTCGAATATGCCGGCGTTTAAGTAACGACATACGGCATCGAGTATATCAAGGGGCTTTACATTCAACGTTGAAAGGTGTTAATGAGTTTCATTAATCAAGAGAAGTCCGTCTACATCCGGCGAGCGCTTCTCGTTGAGACGGTCTTTCAAGCTTTAAACGAAGCTTTCACTCAGGGGAAGCTTCCCCATAAACGAGATTTTTATTTTAAGACATTGCCGCTTGTTAACGGAATCTAGGCGGAGGAAATATCTCGGCGATTTTTGCTCCTCCAGCGATTTTCAATCACGGGCAGATTATTATTTAATCTTAACTCTAGCTTTGTAATTAATTTACGCGAATCGCGTTAACAATTTTTTTTAGATTCTCAAGCTTGCCGAAATAACTGAAGGTAGTCCTTTAGATTCCCACGTGATAAATAAAATTGGAAGGAAACGTCATTAGAGAGAATTAATGTCGACAGTAGAATCCCCAGGACTTTTAGTAAATGAAAATTAAAGTCGTTAATATATGTCTGTTTATCCCCCTCTAGTTGATAAGTTCCTTATCATCAAATGTCAATCGCTTTTCCCCGTTTGCCTAAAGTGTAAGTCCTTCGCTATAATAGATTGACTTCTAGGTATATGGAGTGTTGATTAAATATTTCTCTACTGTAATAAGTACACAGTAAATTAATTTCCAGTTCACTGCTTTTGTTTAACTGATTTTCGCGTATTCGGCTTTCTCGGATGATCGTTGTCGCGTAGGAAGTAGAGATGAACAAATAGATTGGAAAAATCGAGGTGTGTTTTTGTAAGTTCTTGACAAAGATTCGATTTTTAGGGAAGACCGACCGAAATTCGATATCCAGCGGGAAAGCGGGTTCTTTTTTCGGTAAAAAAGTAAAAGCGGTTTGGGAAGGGCTGACGATTCCTATTATTGCGGGTTCGCAAACCCTCCCCCTGTAAAAGGATAAATTGACACAGAAAAAATGGGATCGATTTGTCTCACAGCAAAAAATGTAATTCTCCCGCGGGGTTTTACTTTTTGGAAATTATTCTCGCTTTAAAATATTACGTTGAATCACGGCTCGAGGAAACCGCGGTAACTTTCCGGTATTTCATCCCTGTCCTCGAGGAAAAATACCGGATTTGTAAATTGTCCGTAATAAAGGGACCCTTTCCCAGCCAGAAGTGGCGAAGCCCTCGGCGGTGTCTTCGGGGACTCACCTGTTGCTGGATGGCGGAAGGGCACCTGTTTGCCCGGAAGTGGAGATCCTCTTCCGGAATGAGTGGTTTACGTCGGTCTGAGGTTCGCGCGAGTGACTATCGAGGAGCTCGAGCGAGCTGGAGAGAGCTGAGAGCTGAGAGCTGAGAGCTGACGAGGAATAGTCGGCGGGTTCGAGGGCGAGCGAGAAAGGGCTCGAATCCTCTTCGGCGGCGCGAGTTTGCAGCCCGCGTGGAAGTGACGGCGAGGGCGTCGCGACGCCCTCCTATATATAACAAGTTGAACCCCGCATTCGCCGGCGCCGCGACGCATGACGTTCGCGCGTTCTCTGGACCAATTGCGAAATCCGCGTTCGCCGCCGAGAAAGGGGCGATTGGGGTGAGAGGGAGAAAGAGGGGTAGCATGGGAGGCCAACGCGGGAAAGAGAGAAGGACGGAGAAAGATTGATAGAAAACTCAAGAGAGGGGGTAGGACAGAGAAGGAGGGGGAATTCTTATGGGATTACTGACTCGGGGGGAGAATTTTGTTTATCCACGAAATTGCATTTTTTTATCGGTCCAATGTTAACAATTTTCTCATATTTTTTCACCTTTTTGGCACTAAGGTGTTATTAATGTGGAGAAAGCGGAACGGATGTCTACTGAATTTTTATATTCGGAATTTTTTTGCGGATTCTACGGCACAATACTGACAATCGATATATTTTTTGGATAATGATAAATGGGGTCTATTAAAAGTACATCATAATGGGCGCAGAATTATGCGTAGGCTTCTTAAGTGATTTCGGCGGCACCTTATGAACCTTAATTAAATTCGAGCTCCTTTTCGAGGTACTTTTTGGGGATGGAAAGTCAGATTTGGGGAATTAAGTCGCTGTTCAGAGACCTTTGGTTGTGTCTGCTGGATTCGACGCGCCCTTCGTACGTGTAATTCGGGCTTAAACGGCCTTTAGGGTTGCAATTACGGGTATTCCGCGCGGAATGAATGGAACTGAATTTTGGACGGTGAGCCTAATTAGACGAAATCAAGGAGACGGATTAATTAACGAGATTTCGCGTTCTGAAATGAATTTTGACTAGCAGATAGAGATTTTCAAAACGCGAAAGTGTACAAAAGTAATGCCTCGAAATTTATCAACGTCGATTTTTAAACATTTTCTATTCCGCTAGATTTTACAGAACGCAAGAGTACATGGCTCATGCGTAGTTTATTTTTTTTATTACATATTTCATTTTCCACATTTTCTGCGTTTTGAGGTCGGACATACCCCATCCTTTGATTGACGTTTTACAATTTTCGGCTATCGATTGTGTTTGAATGTATTACATATTTCTCATCTTGTTTTCACGTGGTGATAGCGTTTCACGCCAAATTGGCGTTGAACTCTACCGAGTTTCCTTATATATGTACATAGATTGGTGATTTTTCTGAACTTAAAGTTCAGCCGTAATCATACGAGGTTTCAGAAGTTGGCATAGGAATTTAAGACCGAGAATTCATCTCGGAATCGTCGTTTATGGGGTCGAGTCTGTGGAATCGTTCCATGTAACGTCCTTATTAAAAGATCTCGCGTATGGTTTGGAACGGCAGTATTCTCTTATCAAATCGCTTTCGAACTGGTCGCCTAAGGGTAACGCCAATAAAAAGGACCATCTACTCGAGGACTAAAAGGGAAGTCATAAACCTTTGAAGCGGCCAAGAACTTTCTCTGGACTCGAAAGTTCACGCGTGCAAACACTTGTCTGTGCCTCCAATAGGAAACTATGATATAACATTTTAAAGTGTCACTTATCTTCCCGAATGACCATACCAAAGAAGCTGACCTTAGAAATCTTAACGCAACAACCCAAGAAATAAAATTACACCGAAGTCAAAATCTATCGTTGACATCTAGCAAAGTAAATAGTGCTGCCATTTTTTTTTCTTCCCTTCAAATTTGTTTCTTATAAATCCACCCTCCACCCTCGATCTTCGTTCTCCTTGCGAAGATTCGCAAAGGGGCAGCAAATGGAACGTAAATCGTGACCGGACGAAAAACGTGCGGAAAAGCCGCAAGGAGCGTCTCCCTTGCTCTTGTGACAAGTACCCTAACCCCGTGATGACGGGGACACCATTAGAAGAGGTTAGCACGAGATTGCGGGTAGCCGGTAATCCTCGCCACGGATTCGGATCGCGGCCATGGCGGTCCGGGTTCGAGGTTAGGACGCCTTAAGCCTGGAATACGCCTAAGCGTTTATGGGGTCGACGATGACTGAGTCTGCAGAAGTACGGGCTTTCCGCGAGACTGGTGTTACATCCCCCGGCAAAGGATCGTAAACGTCGAACCTGGCCTCCCATCTTCCTCCCTCTCCGTCGTAAAGGCGACTTGAAATTGTCGCGTGTCCTCAGCAGGTCGCGAATGAGGGAGCGAGAACGAAAAAAATCTTCCTGTCCACGTGTACACGTGGAGCAGTAACGGGGAGTTCGACTGGACTAATTATGCAATTGTCGATCACACACGTTATGCACACGGTAGATTCCGCAATTTCATGTCGTCCTACTTAACAAATACTTGTAATACTCGATAATAAATTTTTTCCAATTTAACAGATGATCGATAAAGCGTGGAGAAGATCCTTGTTCCGTCAGGTGGCATTTACCCAGCGTTTTTAATATCGACGATAAGCCCTAGATTTATCACCATGGGAAACGGTGCTCTAGGATGGCATCCGCGATATCTCCAACGTGTTCGTATTTCCAAGAATCTAGAAGCATAAGAACGCAAATTGAACAACTGGTTCTTCACATCCATTACTTTAAAAATAAAAAAACTGATTTCTTTATTACGTTTATCGTACTCTGTTAAATGTTTTTGCATTTCTTGACAACGGTATGCGTTTAATCGTTTATCCTCACTTATTCTTCCCTTATCTCGAGGGGGTGCCATTTTTGAATTTTATCGAGCTAACCTAAGGCGACGCGAGAAACGGAGAAATAAGTCGCCTTCGAACATGTCCGATGATCGGGGCAAGGAAGGATCGGTAAATATGGACAGGAAACGCGAAATTGAACCTCCAGAAACGGAAAATACATAAAAATGTCGGGCTTGCTGGTGGATCGGTTTTTTGTGTCCGTTTATCGTTTCCCAATTTTCTCGTATTGGTCTCGCTCGGTCTCTTCTGTCGAGGCGATTACTTTCCTAGCAAAATAAGATCGCCCTCCATTTAACATGGAAAATGTAATAAGAATATGTACATGCGGCACACGTCGCAACAATTTGTTCTTTTATATCTTCCACCGTTAATGGCGGTTCGCGATAAGGTATATCTTTCAAAGCGATCCATAGAAAATAATTCAGTTACGTCAAAGCGAGATAATCGCGCCGACGGAGAATCTTCGATCGACCCATTAATTAAAGAATAATTTCATTATCAATAGAGCTCCACCTGTCGACTCGGTATTACGTGCAGGTAAACTATTTTTTTCACATTGTTGTACGAGTGTTTATTGTTAGAGCAGGACATTCTCCATAAAAAGCAGGGGTGTCTCTGCCCGGAAAACTTCTGAACGATTAGGTAATCATCGATTAACACACGGTTCAATTATTCGGTCATCGAGTTCATCACGCCATACATTTACGCTCCATTGCGAACAATGTTGAATTGCTCGAATTCAATGGAGATTTTATAGCTCCCTCTGATGCGTATTTATTGAGTGAACTCACTCGCGGCTAATAAAAATTACCTCGTTAATAAATAAAACCGAAGAGAAATATTAAAAGGAAAAATCACGAGTGTAATATCTGGGTACTATTCTGATAAACGTCTACCAACGTTTGTTGCTACCAAGTCTGATAAATGGGCAGTTCAAATCTGAGTATTTTTAACAAAGCATTAATAATATATAAGTTGACCACATTGTTCTAAGGTCTCCGCTTCACCTTAACCTAATGTTTACCTGTATACCCCGGTTAGTACAACGAAACTAGCTCGTTATACCAATATTTGTCAGTCTTAAGCTTTTAGTACGATCAATCGCCTATCTCGGTGCAGGTATTTCCTGTCGTTCGTGGACGGATCAAGTCTATCCGATCTGAGTAGACTAAGCAGAAAGTGCAGGATACCGCCGATGGTGGCGCCATTTGTAATCCAGGGCTTCGGATACGTGACCTCCTAGTGAATCGGCGATGAGAATCGCGTAGGGACATCGCACTAGATTGGCCGGCCTTTCCCTGGCACCACTGTGTTACCAACGGTGACGCGTTAAAACGGGTTAGGCTGAAATACGTGATGATGAGTCGATCAACCGCTGATCGGCAGCTTGGCGAACTCTCACGGAGCTTAAACGTTCGCCTGTAGTAATCGGAGCAGAATCAAAGATGGCGCTGCAAGAGGAGTCGCGTTAAATCGAGCAGGTATAGTTGTCGATTTTCTGAATCGTGGGGAGGAACGGAAAGAAATTTCAACCTTTCCGCTCAAGTTAATTATTTAACTAGCATAAACCTTCCATGATGACAAATGGACAAATTCGGAGCCCGAAAGAAGAACAGTCGATACATCTCGATCGTTTCGACTTCAACGGGATGGGAAATTCAGCTTAAGGGGCGTCGCGACGGCACCGACGCGTGTTGAGACGTGATCGATAGTCGGCCGAGCGAGAGGCAAACTCGCTAGCGATTAATCGAAGCGTCTCCGTTATGACGCGATTGCTCCGTGGAATTCAAATTTCTCAAGTCACTCTGTCGGAAACGAGATCTCCCACTCGATTATCTCTCCAAGCTCTCTTCCGAAAATTTATGCTTCCCGGAATGGCGGAGAAAATTGCGAGCGAAGAAATTAATAAAGAAACGTCGAAGCGCCAAGTCGAGAAAAAGCCGGCATCCAAAATGGCTGAAATCTCGAAAAAATCACAAATCGTCCACCGTCTTCCCAACATCGCGCCATCTAACTTCGATCGTTTTATTACAAAACCAATGTATACATCAATATTCGCATTTTTGTATAGAGCTTCCCTGAGCGTCGAATTTCGTCCGATTAATCGTTTCTCCTCGCTGAAGTAATTGCCGATCGTTCCGTTTGTTTCTTCGGGTCTGGTAGGCATTGGCCAATAAATCGAAAAGAATCGATCCCTGATGTCGGAAGCGTCGTTTGTCGTTGAGAAAGTCCAACAACCGAAATCCCTCGGGATGTTCTTCAGGGTCGAAGACTTCCTTTCTGGTCCCCCCGGAACGCGAAGTCGGGCATGAGTTTATGGTACTAATTTCTGGACAGGGAATCTCACTTGCGTCCTTTTCCTTTCTTCTGGTCATCTCCACCTTCGGACTTCTTGTAGGCCCATTTGTGGCCTTCCTGGTGGTCGCCCTTTTCTCCGTGTTTCTCCCCATGTTTGTGATGCTTTTGTTGTCCAACGGCTTTTTTGTGACCCACGTGTTCGTCTCGATGGTGGCCTTCTTCGTGTTTCTCCCCCTTGCCATGGTCTTCTTCGTGGTGTCCGGAGTCGTGGTGACCGGTTTTCTTGTGCCCTCCTTTCTGCTCTTCGTGTTCATGATGGAATTCCCCGTCCTTTGCCATCCCTCCGTCTTCGTTGAACTCGTCAAAGAATTCCGTCTTCTTCTCATACTCATCCTGAAGCGGATAAAAATTAAACCGTTACGTATTTCTAATAGTTTATCTTAAATTATTTAATTAAATCCACTACCTTCTTATGAATCGTGTGTTTTCCTTTCGTGCTGTGGCCCTTCTGATGTTCACCCTTTTCGCCATACTCGGCATCCTTTTCAGCCTCCTCCCCGAAGTGATGTTCCGCGTGATACCCACCCTCGTCATCGTGCTTTTTCTCCTCCCCGTGATCCTCCGAGTAATGACGAACATGATCGTCCTTATCGTGATGCCCCTTTTCCGCCTTATCGTGCTCGTGCCAGGTTTCGTAGCCCTGTCAAAAAATTGTAAGACCACTCCACGTCAACGTTCACAAAATCAAGAACTGGTCTCCAAAAGAAGAGATCTTCACCTTGTCTCCGTTTTCTCCGCTAGCTTCGTGATGCTCCTCATCGTGTTCCTGTTCGACTCCTTTTTCGACGGCATGGTGATGATCCTCATCATCGTCATGCTTGTCCTCCTTGTTGCTCTCCTCGTGTTTGAGATCCTGGACAGTCCCCTGCGCTTCGGCTTCAACTTCCTGAACCTTCGCGTTTTCCACAGTCTCCAGGGCTCCCACCACGTCATCGTGGTCGTAATCATCAGGTCCCTTCGAGTTCTTATCACGGCGCCTCCCATTATCTACGTGCTGGAAAGCAGTCGCAGACGTCGCCACGTCGTGGGGTCCCGAATTTACCTCCAAGTCCGAATTTTGCTCATCCAACTTGGCAGGCGACTCTTGTTCTTCCTGTTGGACCTCCCTGGAGTCTAGACTCTGCGGATCCTTGGGGTTATCAGCGGTCACCCTGAACGGTCTGGGACGTGACACCGGGGAAAACTTCTTCAAGCCATCGTCCTCTTCTTCGGATGAAGAGTCTCCAAAATGGCGTCGATTAATGGACAGTGGTGGATCGTTGCTGGTGATGAACTCTCCACTTTGTTCGGGGATTGCATCCGTAGGCGAGTCTTCGTTTTCTGGACCGTAATCCGGGATTGTTGTGGGCACCTTCCTGGGGATCTTCACCTTCTTGTATCTAGAAGGTGGATTCGAAGAAGTAGGATAACCGATCGATTGGGTTGGCACTTCGTAGTCAGGGTGTATGGGCGATGGTATGTCGCTTATTTTTTGCTTCAGTAATTTCTTCCTTTTTGTTTGGAACTCGCGAGGTGTGGTGTGGTCCAGCTGATGTGGTTCCTCCTCCTCGTCAGGTCTCATCTCCTCTTTTGTTCCTGTTGGATCTTTGGAGGATCTGAACGGCTCCGGGGAGGATGCGGAGCCGAAGGGCATGAAGTCTTCTATGCTCTTCTTCTTCTCCAGGACATCCTCGATGGGTTTCGAGGTCTTATCTTGTTGGGGTATCAAATTCTTGGGGTGTCTTGTTCTTCCCGGTCCCTTGGCCGGCCTGAACGGCTCTGGCGAGGATGTTGGATCGAAAGGGGCGAAGCCTTCTCTGCTTTTCTTCTTCTCTAAGATCTCCTCGTACGGTTTTGGAGTCTCTTCTTGGAGATGTATCGAATTTTCCGAATTTATGGACTCCTCCGTGGTGGACGTTCGCTGGGGGGCTGCCCACGTTTGAGTGGTCCAGATCTGTCGAGGCTGTGGAGACGTGGTAGGGTCTTGTTGAACATTTCCTTCGGTTCTAGGATCCCTGATCTTGGAATGTCTCCATCTGAATGCCGAATTTATAGTCGTTGTGGATGGTTGAATCGTTTCGCTTGCTCTTGTTGCCGATATCTTTTGCGTTTCCGGGGATGTGGCGTTTGTTGGTGGTATAGCCTCACCTCTTGGTTTCTTCCTTCTCCTCCTACGACTATTATTTTGTGGAATCGTTGTCGAAGTCTCCAAGTTTATTACACCTGGCGTTGACTCCACATTCGTCGCTGTTATCGCCGTGGCTGAAAATTACGATTAAAAATTAACCCAATGGTTTAGAGAATAATTTCGTAAGTGATTTAACTTCCACTTTTTATAGCATTCGAGTCATTTTTAACAGAATTCTGGCTAACTTTGAGTTCCTATCGTTTAAATGATAATTATCCTTACTTCCTTGGCCTCGACCGCTATTCCTTCTAGGGACTTTTCTTCTAGTCTTTTTAGGCTCAAATTCTTGGGGAACATTTGGAGCCTCCGTCGGCTTCATAGGAATCGTTCTTCGCTGAACTTGGGATGGATCGAACTTCTGGTCCTGATCCTGATTTTGGACCGTTTCCGGATGCTCTTTTGGATCGTGCTCGGCAGCCGTCGATCCTCTTTCCCGTTTCTTCCGGGTTTGCACATTCGACAGAGATTTCGCTTTTTTATCTTGCCGTGATAAGGTGTTCTCCTTCGAGATTACAGGGGATTTCTTGGAGCGCGCGTTTCCTCCAGTTTGCAGCATGATCACCTGTCCCGAAGTCCTCAGGGCTCGGAGAGCTTCCTTTTCCGCGGCATTAATGATCTTATCCTTTACCTCGTTTATGGGGACGTCTAGATCCTTTAAAAGGATCAAAGTTGCTGACTGAATCCCTTTCGATTTGGACTCGATAACCTAGAAAAATATTCTTTTTCAAGTTCGAACGCTCACTCGTTATTTTCAGAAGAAATCATCTCCTTTTAATTATTTCATTTTCTCTATCCCAGTAAGGTATATCTAACGAAGTTTTTGAAGAAACGGGTGAATAAAATTAATTGTTGTTAATGGACTAATTCAAATTAACCAGGATCAATTGAAACAGGTCTAATATAAAATTAAACTCATACACAGCTGCAGAGGTCTGTGTTTGAGTTTCGGTTTGGATGTTAATTAACAAACCGATGATCCTGCGAAACGATTGAACGTGAAACGGCACCGTATTTTTACGGAATTTCAAATTTCCCTCGAGCTGTACGGTCTAAATTTTCCCGCATTTTCTCTTAGAGATAGTATCGATACACGAATCTCTCGATATCGAAACTCTCTAATGGCGCGAAAGTTCACTCGATTGGCACTTAATGTCTGCTTTTTGATGCGATATCACAACTTCACATATACGGCTGAGGTCGAAGATTGGCAACCAGATTGGCCGTCGACATGTTGGTAACCATGGTCACTATAGTTGGCAAATAATTACCAGGTTCACCAAAAGCAGCAAAGCTGCCAACCTTCGGCTCGTTTCCATGATCGACGCCGATCGAAGACTGAGCCGCGATCGGCCGATGCGGAGTCAATTATATCATCCCGGTTCAATTAGAAACCACGGAGACCGATGATATGACGATTTCACGAGAATTATAGTGGCGATCGATCGATCGATCGATCAATCGCCCGGCTTCCTCCTTTCCCTGCCGATTGCGCAAATCGCGTTGGACGATTGGATCCGAGGACTCACCAATCCGAAGGAGGATGGATGAGACCGGAACGAGATTTGCGCAATTTATCGAAATCAACCGCCACTTTCGGAAATATTTCCTTAACCGGTCGAAGAATCGGTTATACCGGAAAAAAAGGAAACGGTGCAATGAATTGTTACCGACTCGTACAGCTTTGGTTTGCAAGTTCTACTTGTTCAGCATTTGATTCCATTCATCAAGGATCTGAGTCGATGACTTGTAATGTCTTAAATGAAATATATGTGTTTCATTAATAATACGTATTATTCGTTAATAATGTATTCAAATTAAATCATGTTGTTTAAATCTAATTGATTGAAATTAAGGAATCTCTTCTTCTTTGAAATCGATCGTCAGAGCTAATTGCGCCAAAACCAGAAGAATTCCGCCATCCGCTTTCTCAACATTCCGGGTCTTTCGGGGATCTAATCGTCGCATTGTTTCTTTCGGTTTCCAAATTCCTTCGATTACCTCCTAGCACCGAGTATTTTCACGACTCGAATCGCAGCCGACATCGATCCATAGACCTGTGTCGGTCTATGAACCGACGCTGATCCAGAAATCGGTCTAGATCGGCGTTTGTCGATCCGTCGAGCTTCGCGGACACGCATCCGCTACCCTCGATCGATTTCCGTTGACAGAAAATTCAATCCGAGCGTTTCGCTGCAACCGCAACGAGAACGCCGTTATACAACCGCAGAGCTATCCGGAATTATTGCGCGCTTCGTGAGCACAACGAGAAACGCGTAGACCGAAAAAAGAGGAGCTCTTCAAGTTTTCACCGCGTCCACCGGCTAAATGACGCCGAAACAGGAAGAGAGAACCACCGCCGATCGATTGCGTCGCCGATTTAAACTATATAGTTTGACCTACACTTATGAGGTGGCGCAACGGTTCATAAATGATTGACCTGTAAACGTTACTTTCATATCGTCAAAATTATCCACGTTAATCCTATAGATTAGGAGGAGTCTTCGTGGTTTCACGCGCATTTCTTTTCGATTTGAAGTGGTCTCGACTATATTTTTCCTCTTTGCAAACAAGTCTTTACTCCGTCGTGGAGTAATCTCGTGCGGACGTTTTAGCGCGGTTTACTGCCCCTCGTGTTGGCCTATGAGACTCGTTACAGATTGAATCGCCATTTCCATCGGTAACTCCCTTTTTCCCCTCTTATTCCAGTCGTAAATTCGAACTGACCGGAGAGTCCTAAAGTAATGCCACTCCGTTTCCCTAGAAAACTCGGAAGGAAGGCCTACAAAGTTTTCCCCACCCTGAAGAAGCGCTTCCTCTTTTGGTCCCTTTCAAATCCGCCATTTTGTTGCTTCACCTGGGAAACTGTTTGAAAAATATTTCCATAGCTATTCTTTTCGTTATAACGAAAGCTCTTTTTTTTATCCATTAACCGTTTATCGACTTTCAGATCGTTTGATCAACGATTCTTGTAAACGATAATTGTTTTCCTGGAGCGTTGGATACAATACGGTCTGTTAATAAAGTGTCTTCGCAGGTTTATAGATCGTATACACTCGAGAAATCGTTATCTGCTTTGCTGACTTTGTTCTTTACGTTCGTAGCCGAGTTCTTCGGAAACTGGGTTACGAGGAGGTAGATCACAAATATTTGTTTAAACATGTTTATGGGATAAATAAAAGAGAAATATTAAACTCAAACGTAGATTATAATTATCCACATTGAATAAAAAAATTTGTTTCCAAAATGCATTTGGCATGAAGCGCAGTCGAGTTCCTATACAGAGATTCGAATTAAATGCATTTGTAACGAGATTTCAAGCCTTTATCGAATAGCTATTAAATAAATGATGACCTGAACGGATACATTTATTTTGATCGAGTTATGTATATTGTTAAAATCTAGGTGGAAACGCATTTTTAAGTACATTGTTAAATGTCTCTCGAGAGCTCATTTATAGCCCGAACTGCATGTCCGCGGTTTTATGGACCCCTTAAGGTTTCACGACATACTTTGACTCTAAGTAGGATGAAGATCCAGCACCTTTAGTTAATTAAACATTTTTATTACGTCAATCAATCTTCTGTTAGGTGCAATCGTCGAAACTTTCGCATTTAATGTTTTCCATCGGAATGTATGCACCTGGGCTTCGATTTCGGGTCGATCCGATCGATGAGGAAATTGGAAACTAACCTCTCTCTGCAATTCGATTGCGAGCAATTGCTCCCAATCGAAGACACCGAGAACGCGTATCGAAGTGTGACAAATTTCACTTTTCCTTGTTTTCTCTCGGTTACGGAGAATAGACCTGAACGACATGACACGATCGTTGATATCGTTTACAACTAAACCGTATTAAATGTCGTTTCTACTCATGATCGAATTATGTGTAATCGGTTAATACAAAGTAACCTAATATTCTTGTTCAATCAGGATTTTATAGATATATAACACAACAAGGTTTCTATACGCTCGTGAAGTGAATGCAATACCATTTGAGCCAATACATATTTTTATTGTATCAAGAAACAATACGATGCCATTTTGACGATTTTTTTTCGGGTATTTAATTTTTCTTGGGGTAGCCAAATTTTTTTAGGACTTGAATCGCAAATTTCTCGTCGCCAGGGAATAAGTTATCGCAAAAATCGCATTGCAAATGCACCGATTACTTTCACTGCTCGTATTCAGGTCGTGCAAGTACACTGCAAATACTGCAAAGTCGAATCCTCGGTTGGCTGACGAGACCTCGAGGAGGCCTTCTTCAACGTTTGCCCTTCTTGTGAGCCCATTTTTTCCCGGATTCGTGATGGACTTCCTCGTCATGCTTTTCCCCCTCGTGATGGTGATGATCGTGACCTTCGTCGCCTTTATGGCTTTTCTCCTTTTTCTCGTGATGGCCGCCTTCGTGCTCTTTCTCCTCGCCATGATGACCCTGGAAATATTTCCAAACAACTATAAAGCCCGGTCTTAATAACGAAATATGTTTCTAAACAAAAAAAATGTCATATAACGTCATTCAAAATTTTAATAATCCTTGGAAGGGGCAACATCACCTCGTGATGATCTTTTTCGTGATGTCCTTCGTCGTGATGTTCGCCTTGTTCCTTCTTATGGCCGTGTTCATAGTCTTCGTGTTCCTCGTTGTCGTCGTCCTCGTGGTACTCGTCAAAGAAGTCGTGCTTCTTTTCGTACTCGTCCTGGAAATATGGATTATTATATTATATATCTTTTTCTAGAGATGAAATTTTTGACACGGGATCGAATATCGCTTCGGATGTAGATATATACACCAGGAAAATGGTTCTTTCATTTGATGGAAAGGACGGGTGCGGTAAAAGTATACCCTCCTTGCATAAGGTGCATTCCACTATACAGGGTGATCCATGTTCGCCTACACAAGTTTTGGAAAATAAATTACATACCACTATTTTTTGCAATCCTTTTCATGAAAATTTGAATTTTTTAGTAGTCGTCACCCCGATCACCCTGTATGTTGTTGGCACGGAACATCGGCATCTCCCGTTTCTATACCTTCTTGAAAATGTTATGCTCTCCCTTCGTACTGTGTCCTTCATGATGATCGCCCTTGTCGTCGAATTTGCCAGATTTTTCCGTATCTTTGCCACGATGATGATCGCTGTAATGATCCGACTCGTCTTCTTCGTCCTTTTCGTGGCCGGACTTCGAATCATGGTGGTGTTCGTCCTTTTCGTCCTCTTCGTGGCCCTGTCCTGCCTTTTCTTCCTTGTGTCCGTGTTCGAGTCTCTGTAATCAAGAAATTCATGGTATCCAGAAATGACGACTTTTTTGCACTCGAAACATTAATTTGGAGCCAAAATGGAGGACACTCGTCCCACCTTTTTCGACTCCTCCTCTTCGCCCTTGTGATCGTGCTCTTCGTGTTGCGCGTTCGTGTCCGTTTCGTGATGCTTGCTCTCGTCTATGGAATCAAATGCAAATGAAGCGTTCAATTTCGATCTGGGACAGCTTTTAGTTGGGTGTACGAGTTGAAGCGATTTTCGAGATTAAGCACCGTTGTCCGTGGTCAGTGCTCAGGTGGGGAGAAGACACCTTTTTAGTGGCTCAGTAATTTTTTTCTTCAACGAGGAAGGTGAGACATTTAGTTTGAATTTAATAGCGATAAAATCGTTTCCCTTATCCACTTGGACCAGTTCGAAAGGGCAATTTTGCTGCACGAATCGAACTCGTTTCCTTCCCTCGGTTTGCTCGAGAACCACTTCGTCTTTATGAGAAATAGTCACTTGGGATTTTACTCCGTCATTATTTCGCTCACTTCCTCCCTCACAATTTTCAGGATTTCAAGTGCGGCAATTATGGAGGGATAAAGGGCTTAGAGAAGTACTTTAGCGCTTCGGATCACGTTTCGAGATGAACCTGTTGAGTCGAGCTATTTCTCTTTCTCACTAAGAAATTAATGTCGCGTTTAAAAGTCGCTTAAACGTAACGGATACTTTAAAGTAATTTGCACCTGATAACCGTATACTTCCGAATTTCACTCCTTTTTTCGATTCTTGCAAAATTCAAAAGCCTGCACATTAAATGTAGCTAGGAGTGTATTATCGATACAAGAGATGTCCGACAACAATCTCTAATACACGTTTCATGAATTTATTATTGTTTTCAACGGTGTAGAATAAAGGTGAAATTGAAAAAGCGAACCTTTACGATCGTCTTCCGAAGCTGCAGTTTCCTGATCGGTGACATATCGGAAGCCCATCGGTTTTCTGGTAACTTTGGTCACCCCCAAACTCCTTCCTATCAGGGTGATCGCCGTTATCACCAAAACGGTCCATTTGATATGGTTCGGAGCCATTTTCGTCAACCTTCGAAATCTCCCCTGTCCTTCTCCAGGGTAATATCGACAGACTCTGATGAACAAATCAATCCTCACTGGCGATTTCCGAGATCGATCTCGATCTGATATAGTCCCGTTATAATCGGAAATTCGTCATGCCGGCATTTTTTACAAGACCGACGTTTCCGTTCTTATCGACTCATGTCTAAAGGATTCTAATTGCGGAATTCACGGAATAATTGGCAACTTTCACTCTCGACGTACATCTTCATCCGAAAAGTCATTAGCCGAGCTCCGAGCAATTCGATACTTAGATTAGATCAATTTTACTGGTAATTCAATTAAACGGTAATATACCCAACGATATCCTAAACTCCTATTAAAATCACTAACAATTTCAAAATTGTCAAAATGTACGAGTTCATCGTCAGAGTTTATGAAAATAATTCTCGAAGTTGCTGTAATTGTTGCAAAGTTGCCGTGGGATTAATTCGGAATTTATTCGGGATTTTAAGAGATTGGGCTTATTTTTAATGAGCCGAGTCCTTCACATTTTAGATCCTGAATCTTATTTTAAACAGTTAGGAAAGAACACTAAGAGCCTCTGAATCAAATTGTTATAATTGACCATTCTGGCACGAATGCGAAACGAATTTCCCGCTCGAGTGCGACTGACTTTCGCTTAATAATGGAGAGAAAATTCAATCGTTAGAAGAGAAAATCGAGAGCACGATTTGATTGTTTCCATTATAATATCCCGGCAAAGACAAAACAGGTGGTTGAAAAACGTTCCAGTGAGGGTTACTAAAAGTGGCCTTTCAACGGAGCGCCTTAACGTTATATGGTGATTGCCGGTAAAAAGTAGTTTTGAAAGTTGCCTTTTGTCTTGAACCTCCAGAAGAACATCTCGCGTGGGAATATCGACCTCCCGTGAACATTCGGATCACCGATAAACGTCTATTCGTTAATCACCTCAGTTACCTTAAAAAACTTATAAGATCTTATTAATCGTATTTAATTAAAACTAACACCACGACTAAGAGCGAGAAAGTGGGAAGGCCCGGGAAAGCCCGGGAAAGGCGGAAAAGTCAGTGGAGGTAGAGGATGGCGGAGGAAATAGGAGAGAAGCTGGTGGAAGCTACGAGCAAACATCGGACACAGAGCCGAAGCCGCACAGCAAACATCCCCCGTCGACGTAGACGAGGAGCTGCGTCGACGGGACGTATTGCGTTCCGGGACGGACGACACGACGCTGTCGAGACAAAAAATGTCCTCTTGCCACTCTTTTGGAAATATCCACGAAAGCCGTTCTAAACATCTCCAGATGGTTTGACCCAGAAGTGATAAGGTTTCGAAAGTCCTGTTGAAATCCTTTAAAGAGTCTTCTCTCTTGGGATTCGAGACATTTCGGGAGGGATGAACGATTCGAGCCTATCGATTCCCTCCATTCGCTACGTACTGTCGTTAAAACGGATTTTTTATAAGAGTAATTTATTCAAAACTCAAATTCAGATGTCTTGATTTTTTTACAATTTCTATACAACCGCCATTTACTTGTAATGGTATCGATTGCTGCGGTAATTAGGCGTTTCCTGTAAAGTATTACTAATAGGGTTATTCATTAATAATATCAAGGAAGATTCGCGATCTTATGTTTATTTAATATGATTTTGGTTCTCCTTTTAAGATTTTTTCCACGTCTTTACCCCGTTTTAAAACGACGACATTCTTGTATATTCCATTAAAGCTAAAATTGGCGAAGGACGTACGTAATTTATTCACTGTTTTTTGCTTTTATCTGATTTTCATAAACAGACCGTATTTAGGGTAAATGTTTAAGATTTAAGGATCGATCCACTTTGAAAGCGAGGGAGACATACGTATTTTTTAACAGAAAGCGGTCCTTGAAAAGAATCCGAGAGACTGCGTTTAATGGAGTCTTGCTTTTATTTTCAAAGTTCGGAAGACCGTTTGTTTGAAATAAAGGCGTTTTTAAGAGACCCTAAAATGATGCTTGAAAATAGCTTGTGATGTACCTTCAAAGAAAATATCAGTCGGCCATATCGGGCTAGGGTGCAAAAAGCTACCAAACAACGTCTTTTTACCGATTCGGAAATATTGCTTTTCATCCCCAAGAAGAATTCGCACGATTCTAGCCGAACGTTCGATAAATCGCTTTCCTGCAATCTCAACCTTCTTCGTCCTTGCTGCGGTTGGGAAAGGTGGTTGTTCCGCCTTGAAGGTAAAGAAGGACGAGCGTGACACGGCGGGACCACGAGTGGCTAACGAGATATCGGTAAGCAAATTAGTATCGGCGTTCACACAGCCAAGCTCGAGTTAGCCGATGTGCGGATCCTCAGCTCGGAAATGCACGGCCGAGTAAACCGGGTCTCGGTTAAGCTTCGTAATTGAATTTACGCAGGTCTAGTATAAGAACCGCGAAGCGACTCTTCAGGGCTGTTCCTACTCGCCATCGGCAAAAGTTGCTTCAAAAAATTATGGCGTACATAAGAACTAGAAATTGACGTAATTTGTATTTGCTAAGGTTTTAATTAGCGCACGAAATCACGGTGAAACAATTAGTCGAAGGAATGGTACATATATATTTTTATTCCTTCATCTAGCGGTACATAGGTCATTCCGCATATATGCGCCCGTTGTGTACATACTCATACGAGTCCGTAAAAATATCGCGTCTTAACGCGGTAGAATGTGTTGGATCTTGATCCAACTCTCTCGTGAATAACATGAATGGACGTGAAGACCAAAGAGTCTCGTTATCGTTTCCGGACGACACTTATAAAAAAATTATCGCCCTAATCGCGGTCGACTCAATCCGAGTCTCGAGTGATCTAAAATACAGGGTGGTCCTTGTTAGCGAAGAACGTATATTAAGCAGCTTGAACAACTTTGCTCTGAGGCCCTTTTTGCGTGGAGTTGATTTTATCTCCGAGAGACAGAGCCATTCCTTGGCTTTTGGCTCTGATTCTGATGTGCCCGACCACGGGAGCGTCCGACTTGTTCATCGGTTTTTCTATAGACAAGTTGGCCAAAGCATCCTCGCCGAAAATGGACTTCGCGTACATGTTCGCCGCCATAAATCCGCATTGTCCAGACAGAGCCTATGGATGAGTAGAAAATGATAATTAACGTCAACGTAGTCTGTGCACGATATTCCGACTTCTCCTAAAACGTCGCTTTGCGGATATTTACTTTTTCTGGCGTGAGACAGCGCATGTTGGTAGACTTCAACAAGTGGGCAAGATATTCTCTCAAATCCGAAAGCGTGGTATTAACGGACACTTTGTTCTCCCACTCGAACTCGGCCCACATTTGTCGAAACTCAGCATCGGTGCATGTCGCCGGTACGATGTAATCCATGATATCGATGTGAATGTCATTCAAAACGACAACGCTTCTGTCAGAGCCTGCTCCAGAAATGTCGTACACTGAAACGACATAACCCGATGAACGATCAATGAGCATGTATTGCAGTTTCTTGTACAGGTCGTCGGTTGTGCAATCGACGCTTACCAATATTCCCAAAAATAATGCCATTTTCGGTGGAGGCAACCTTCACGTTGGCCTTGATACTAGCAAAGTCCCTAGGAGCAAGAACAATCGGCTGGGGTCTTTCCACCAGTTTTAGATCACCCATGGTGGCGAGTTCCAAGGTGCAGTTTTGCAAGGTATCTTCCGTTTGATTGACAATCAAGACGTCAAGAACAATGTCGTACTGATTGACGTGAACCAAGGCTTCGGCGTAAACAGGGTCCGAGAATCCGGTCAATTGGGTAACTTTGCTCAGAGCGTTTGGAGCTGGAACGTCTCCTCCGGCTCCAGGTCTGCCAACCACGGCAGCACTGAGACTTTGCTCGAAGACGTCTCCAGCACCTCCGGTTAAATCGGAACTGCGGTTCAGTTGCAAAAATTGTATCGCGTCGTCCACTTGCACGATACTGCCAGGCTTTTCCTTAGCCTAGGAATTAAATGTAGCCGTTGATTAGACGTTCTTTCGACAGTTCTCGATAATGTGGTTTTCTAGTAATTTAATCATGAGTTTATAATCAGAAATAAAAAAAGGACACGTAATCGTGGTACCTTTTGTTTCTGCGAATCTTCCTCAGCTTTCGCAGTCAGCATCCTGCCAAGGGCCTCGCGACAACCTTCGGTGAAGACGCTTTGCACAAGCGGTGTAGGACATGCCAAAGCTCTCAAACATAGAGATACCCTTTCGGCATCATCATGAGTCATTGCCTTTGAAGGCAGTCCAGATCGACCCAGTTGAAGAACGCTAGACATGACAAGCATAGTTTCAGCTTGCAGTCTGTTGCTCTTCTTAGCATCCTTCTCAAGAGTTTTGTAACGGAGAGCAAGTTTCGCCAGAGTAGTGGCTAATGATGCGCCGATGAAGAAATCTCCATCCATCATGTACTGCACCAACAGAGGACGTTTCTCATCTTTCTTCCCTGAATAATTGAATTTTTCAAATTATTTCACTCGTCACAGGTCAATTATATACGCACGGACTACTATAAAATTAATCGAAACAAAATGAACAAACCCGCAGTTGCTGTGCTGAAGGCACTCTGAGTCGCATACGTTCCATCGGAGGTAACTAGCTGTGCCGGTGCAATTTGGGCGGTCCCATCTTCAGGCTGCTTTTCACCAGCTTGTCGTTTATTTTCAGCATCGATAAGTGGCAATTCTCCTAAAGCAGCTCTTATACGACTCATTACTGCTTCGATGTCGTCCTTCGAAGTTGCATATTCACCTAGAATCCACAGAGCCGCCCTGTGGACCTTGACGGAGCGAATTTGAGGAAACACCTAGAAGTTAAAACAATTTTTTGTAGTGTCACTGGAAGATTGTATGATTTATTTTATATTTATGTATCAACAATGGATTATTTACCTCCAGTAATTTTTCTACGATTAGCGGTCTTAGGGGTTCGAATCGTTGAATGGCTTCGCGAACGAATACTAATACATCTGTGGCAGCAGCCTCGTTATTCTCAGAAAGGAAGTCGGTTAAGACAGGAATGACAGTTGCTGCGACATCAGGGAATTTGATAGAGCATGCATGAAGAGTTCTCACAAGGAGTTGTCTGTATCTGCCAGCATCTTCGTGTTCGCCACCGGCAGTTCTCAATACTTCTTTCTTCAACAACTGTACCATTTCTTCTATGGTACGCGTTGTTACCAAATCCATCGCAAGAGCTAACGCCTTCGTCCTGACTTCCAGAGCTGGAGAACCTGTAGGATAAAATACATTTTGTACACTGTTCACATTTGCGAAGATAAAATATATGTTATTCTATTTAACTGTTAACGTACCTAATACTCGAAGGATATCCATGACAAGGTCCTGAAGGACTCTTTCATGGGCAGGGCTATCCTTCATGGCTATGAGACGATCAAGGACTATCAATTTGACATTGTTGTCACTTTCCTTGACAACTAACTCAATGTAACACGATGCAGCAGCTTTTATCGCTGTCGGAGCACTGGATAAAGTCACTAAAGTGCCAGCTGCTTCGTAACGAACTGCTGCACTGGGTGAATTTAATAGACTGTAAATGCAACGGATAAATCTTGCTCTTTCGGATGAATTGGCAAGACACACCTGTTGAAATAAAAAATAACATTCTCCTAGTTTTCAATGGATAATATTATTTCGTTGTCACCGTTCTTAATACATTAAACGCGGATTATGGATAATTCTATTCAATTCTCATAGAATCGATACAGTACTTGATGCGTTAAAAGATAATATTTTTGTAGTTTGATTTAGTCTCATTAGTTCACCTTATAGATCAATTCGACTATAACCAGTTGCAGTATATCTCCAAAACTGGGCACTTGATCCAAACACGCAGCTAAGTAAGCCAATGCTCTGCTTTGATCGGCATGCAGTAACATTAAAAATGCATTTCTCCTACAGGACATATCTTGTTCTCCTTCTAGATATTTGGCGATCAGCTCTGGAGCATCGGGTATCAAGAACTCAAAATTCCGATAAATTGTGAAAATGGCCAAGATTGCATTACGGCGAACATACGAATGTCGATGCTCAAGACATGTAGTTATTGGTGGCATTAGGGGTTCGAGAAGCTCCGGTTCTTTCAACTTACACAAAAACCTGGGAAACAATTTCTTACGTAAAAATTAAAACAGTTCGGGTTCGTTTCACTTACGACATTTCTATCTTTAACCCCATAATGGCGTTCAATGGATGCATTCGTCACAAGGAAATACTTATTTTCAATGAGTATACTAGTCACGTGAACGAATAAAGTATCTTTCGCTATAAAAATTGAAACTTTTTCATGCAAAAGTTTATGCATACCTAAGAGTAGATCCCCTAACGAACTCATTTGGATGTTGTAGATCTTTCCTATAAGCGTCACATACCAAAATCATTTCTTGGAGCAGCTTGCCATCCGGTGATGTCTTAGGAACAATTTCCCAAAATATCAGCAGAAGTTTCTTAATCGTATGATCCTGCAAAGGCAGGACGAATCTGATAATAGTCATTAGAAGTCCGGGGAGCCTTTCACCACTGAGAATCATATGTATCGTCTTCTTCAGTGCATCGACTTTTGTCTGAACATCTCCTTTTTCTAGATCATGCTTCAATTGCAGTTCATTCAACGGTTCGGTATCCGATGCTATATTGATAATGGTGTAACACGGCTGTTCGGCCACGGTACTCATTTTTCTTATTTGTTCAAAATTCGTTCCTCGAGGTCTGTCTAATGTTACAGGTAAGCGTGTTCGAGTGGCATCACCAAAATTGAACCTGGAAAAAATAACGTGTTGCAATTATATAGACAGTTTACATTGGCATATGAATGTCAGGCATTAAAGGTAGATTATATTCACACCACACAGAAACCCACTTAAATCGCTAATTCCTAATTTCCGATGCACTGACTAACGTTTCCATACCTGACTATTAAAAATGTGGGAAATATACTATAAGACTATTTTCAACAGTTTCGGCACATGAAACACGAACGGCACGAATCAAGTACGTGTCAAATTGGTCTGCTGTTCCGAAATTCGAGAGGCGGAGGCGATGTAGCAGTGAAATCACCATTCAGGAATGAAACTCCTCATAAAACAACCGAATTCCCTAGAATAGTTCACTGTGAGTGGCGCTGTTATCTAAAAAGTAAAATTTTAAATTATACTGATATCAAACAGGGATAAGTCTAAAAAATGGCTGAGATACTAGCAAATGTAATGATTATCATAGTCAGTGAAACGGTTAAAAGAAAATTCCAACGATAAGATTTTGACCGTTGAGTTTTCAAACGGTAATGAAACTCTGCTTTATCATCAGAGGTTATGACAAATTAAACATTTTTAATTTTGACCCACAAAATAATTCGAAGATGTATTCTGTGTGGAATTTTGATCTTAGGCTTCCTTTTTCATTTTAGTCTGAATGTAAAAAGTAGGAAAACCTATACAAATCTGGCGCCACGTTCGGACATAGTTTTACGACTACTGATACCACTTTATGCCAGGTCCCCTATATCCACGAAGACAACTCATTCGAGAGGTTTATGAAACGAATCAAGAAATTTGGTAGAGTTTCGAGCCAAATACATTTTTGAGTGAGAAATTCGTAGCGTTGAGTGTTGCGAGAAACGCGCCCTGCGCGTTAATAAAATCAGGCAGTTAAAAGAATCAGAGGAACACTTCATATAAATAGGGAAATTTTTGTACGAGTGTACAATAAAACCTTAATTGTAATATATTTATACGCAACAATGGAATAGGGAAGTAACTCGATTAAACAGTAATAAATTCGTTCGACGCATATACAGACTTTACAAACCACCCATAGGTATTCTAACTACTGCTTGGAGAGTAACGATGTAGCTCTTTCATCAACAACATAATAATTGTAATTATTAATTAAAAATACAACAGCAATGCACCACCTCCGGAGGTGACGACTCCCTGTTACTCGATGTACAAACGACTAAATTAATTGTTATATAAATACTTAAACGACATTGGTTTGTAAAAAAAAAACGTCCAAAGCTTGGATCTAGCGTATAAGTATAAAAAACAAATCGATGAATACTTTTACAGTCATTAGAAATGTCAAGGTACGGGTAAGGCAATGATTTAGAAATTTTACTTGCGATTCGTTTGGCAGTCATGTGCGTTTCTAAGTTAAACCTTAGAGAATAATCGTAATTACTGTAAGAAATATATCTTTATATGTTAACAGGGTAATCTTCGATAAAATGGCAGATACGAACATCGGTCGTGTAGTATTGCTTACGTTGACATTTTGAGTCAATGGACAGGCTTGACAAGGAACCATGTCACAGACGTCATAAATGACATTACAGGTATATAAATATAATTGTTCCAGGCTGTATATAATACTTTCAGATAGACTTTTAACACGTGCTTTTGTATCCACAGTGTCAGGTGGATTGCACGTTACATGGAGGAGGCGCAAGTCGATCAGAATTTTCCAATAATCCCAGCACAACGTTTACAGAAACCATTTTACAGAATCGGATAACAGTTTGAGCTAGCAAGAGATAACGCAAGAATTCGTAATACTCGAGCAGAAAGTCTCAAGAGACACGCTCAGGTGAGCGGGAAACTCGGCTGCGTTCCACAGCAAATACAGACACAGTCGCTTGGTCGCAACCGAGTTTCTTTACGCCAACTGTCAACACAACGAGCACACAAGAGCGAATACCTCCATATCCGAGTCTCCCGACTGGATTTCCATTATTTCTCAATATTGCGGAGAGACACGAAGAGGTTGAAGCGATGCAAAAGTCGAGCACCCGCGACCAGGCAGGCGAAAGTTTGAACACAAGAGGCATCTTCAAGGCGACTCAGCCCTGTTCCTTATTGCCGACGTTGTTATTATCCAGGGCAGCCTTGATGCTCTCCAGGAGAGACTCCAGCTTGTCCAGTCTCCCCTTCACCAGGTCCAGCTCAGCCAGGATCTTGTCGTTCTCGGAGACGCGGCCCCTGCGAGCCAGGACCTCTCTGGCACGAGTCACGATGTCGCGGTCCATCCTGAGAACGTTGCACTTGCGGCTCTTCAAGGTCCTCCCCTGGATGCGGATCTCGTTCCCTCGGTACGGTAGGACGGTGATTTTTCCCAGGGGTATGTACTTCGGGAAGAAGAGCATCCTCTTGGCGAGGAAGATCAAGGGGTTCATCCTGAAGGACCTGGTGGCGTTGACGAAGGCGCAGCAACACTTAGGTTCCCCAAAGAATGGGGAACCTACGGCAACGCTCTCGGCGTAGCCGATGAGCTTGGCCCTGCAGATGAGGCCGACCAACTCCGCCTTCCCCAGGATCTCAGCTGTGTCGCTGACGGCCAGACCGTTCAGCAAGTTAAACAGGACGATGGCAATGAGGAAGACGAAGAGCACGAAGACGAGGTGGCTGAGTACAGGGTGCGCCGGGAAGGGGATTTCCCCGGCTTCGAACTCGCCGGTGAGCATGATGACGGTCTTGAAGAGCGAGCGCCCGAGATTGGGGAAGTTGGGGTCGTCGGCGTCCTTGAAGAGCGTGAAGAAGGCCAGGGCAAAGGCCAGGATCAGAAAGGCGTAGGGCAGGAGGAAACGAGCAAAGTTCAGCGAGACCGTCTTGAACATCTCGATGCCGGTGGACATCCGTGGGTGCTGACCCATCAGGATCACCAGCTCCCAGGCGGAGAGCAAAATCGCGACCGCTGCCAGCTGTGCGCTGGAGATGCGCAGAAGCACGAATCCGATACCCAGGAGCGTCACCTCGAGCCAGTTTTCTAGGCTGTAGACGTAGTGGCACGGGGAAGAGATTACTTGGACAATTTCCCGGATCGATAGGATGATCAACGCCGATAGCGTCAGACTCCAGAGTCCGCCACCCGGGCGGACGTCGACGAGAACCGTGTCGTTTGTTCGAGTTGCGTTAAACTCTGATACACTGCACGCGGAGCAAAGAATGTAAGTATTCAGTAGGAGGTAAAATATCACGTATATCACGAAATTCGCGTACAAGGCGTGGCGGATCCTGTGCCACTTCAGGTAGAGGAAGGATGAGAGCAATGGGTGCTTCAACAGGTGTTTCAGGGCACCGTGGGTGGCTATGTAACGCAGAGGGTCCATCTCCGTCGTGCGTGGCACCGTCACTTCGGGTTCCCGGGTCAAGAGGAGGTCCTTCTCGCCCTCTAAGGAAACCGTGTGCGGCATCAAGCATTGGTAATTGAACCCCACCTCGTAGTCGTCGGTCCGCTCTTTGCTAGCCTGAAGACACTCGTCCAGGTATTCGGATAAAATCTCTGGAGACAGGTGCGCCAGTGGGGGAATTCCCAGGATGTTCCCGTGACCGATGTAGCTTCCAGCCTTTAAGAGGAGACGTACTGCTTCGCTCGATTCCGCTCTTGCTGCGTAGTGAAGGGGACTGTTTCCCTTATCTGAAATTGATTGTCATCGATTAGGTTTATTCGCCGATGTGACGAAATTCTTTGGTTAATGTAATGTAATGAGATCGAGTTTGGTTGAGCGTAGGAACTATTTTAGATTTACGTTTAATTGAGATTTTTGGTTCATTGGCTAGAAGCCTTAAAATGTTTCAAGGCATGTTTGGAAACTTCTTTCTTGTTCTTTGTTCATTGCACAATGCGGTTCATTTTACACGCGGCGAACTTTCCCAGAGCTCTCGAGATTACGAGGAGGTGGATTTGCATCACTTGGAGACTAAGCGGATGAGCTCCTCGTTGACACGATTTTACTAAAGTCATTAAGGCTACTTTAATCCGAGTAACGAGATACGATGGCGGGTCTCATGGTCGCGACTTCGTCAACTATCCAAATACCGTGTGAAAAATTCCGTCCACTTTTAGACATCCCGTTGCTAATTCTCAAATAACAATTCTCTACGCGCAAAAGTCCGAACCTACCGTCCTCGCACCTGACGCTGACATCGGGCTGCGCGAGGATGAGCTTCAGGCAGTTTATCCGGTCGAAGTTGTGGTCAGGACCACTCCTGCAGGGCATGGCGAGTTCCTGGCATGCGAGGATGACCAACCTGCCGCTGGAGAGGTCGACTCCGAAGTCCAGCAGCTCCTTCAGGACTTTATAATGGCCCTTTTTGACGGCGCAGACGGCAGCGTCGATGCGGTTCGAGGAGGAGTCTTCCCTCTTCAGCAACTCCCGGACGGCGTCGCAGAGATCGTGCTCGGCGGCGATCTTGAGCAATTCGTCGGTGTCAATGGCTACGTCCTCCTCCAGTTTTGCCAGGCTTTCCGTAAAGTTGGCCTGGTCGTTTGCGTCGAGGAAGTACCGCAGGAGGTTCGAATCGACCTTGCCTTGGAGTCGAGGAGGCAGCACGAGGTCAGGGAACTGTCTCTCCAGGACGTGCCTGGTGGTCTGCTTTCGCGCATCCTTGAAGCTGTCCAGGTCTGGGGCTAGCCTGGATTTGCAAAGAATTAGTCGGACCATTTCCTCGTGGCCGCTGGTCGCCGCAAGGTGCAGGGCGGAGGCTCCTTTGCTGTTGGGGATGTTGGGGCTGGCGTTGCGGTCCAGCAGCAGCTCGGCGCATCTCAGGTCGTTCCTCCTTACCGCTATGTGAAGGGGCGTCCTGTAGGTAAGAGTTCTTTCGAATAACCGTACGAATGTATATTATACCAACATGAATGCATGGTATTACCTGCGAGCTACCTCCAGGTTTGGGTTGATCCCCGGGTCCTTCAGGAGAACCCCCACCACTTCAGGGAATCCTGCTTCGGTGGCGAAGTGCAAAGGTGCTCGATTGTGCGCCTTGTTCACCCGGTTCGGATCTGCTCCCAGTTCCAACAGAAGTCTGACGAACTCCTCGTAGCCCTCGCAACAAGCGATGTCGAGGAAGGTTTTCCCCTCGAACCCGGGGAACACGTAGTTGATGTCGATACTCGGCGGGTATTTGTTCAAAGCCCGGGTGGCCAGGCTTTTGAAAACCGCGAATCGCCTTGCTCGCAGGTTTTCCAGGAGCACCTTGTACAAACTCGGGTTTTCCTCTCGAATCAGCTGCATCTGGAACAGCTCCTCTTCCGCCTCCATCGTGCCTTCGGAGAGACCCTAGAAATGCCAGGAGATTTAATTATTCAAAACGACATTTCCTGTAAATCACTGGTTTTCATTTTTTGATAGGTACAGATAAGGAGCAGCACCAGGGGTCTGATCTTTTTGTAGCTGTGTCTGAAATTGAATCTGATTTCAGGAGGTGCAAGAGGAAGTCGGGTCAAGTGTCATCCATGGTGACAAGTGCAGGAAAAGGTCGAGTCGTCTTGGAAAGCCGAAGTAATAGTACTTGCACGAGTATAGCACATTAAGCGATCTCTATCTTTATAAGATGATAGACACGCGAGCTGACAAACGTCATGTTTTTTTATCGTGCTGGCGTATCGATCTAGGTTTATTAACAATTCATTACACAGACGACCCTTCTGTGTTTCTTTATTGAGAAGGTTGACTATGTCGCCGATTGTAAAATTGACATAAAAATGACCGATACGCTGCGATATAAACCTCATTTGTACAATGCCTAACGCAAGTCCTGCCATTATTTCAAAGAATAGTCCTTTTTTATAACGATAGACCATGATCGTTATCAATATTTTTCGGATTTCTCGGATTTTGTCGGTATTTCTTCCTCGACGGCTCGATTTTCGGCCCGCAGGGTATCTTAGGAAGTGACTTTCGACTAGATGAAGGAACTTTTTGTTCGCAGCAGAGTCCCAGCGTAGAGTTTTAGCACAAAAGACAGAGCGTGGGCGTGCAGGCTCCTCTCGTGACGTCACCTCGACACGTCAGAGCACAAGTATCATTTAACCGATGCCGGCTGCCTTTACTGATTATGCGCTTCAAAACAGCCTCGACTCTTTGCGGACACAATTTATGTGCCTATTCACGTAAATTCTCATTTCCGCGGACCGAGGAACGCCCGGCGCGATGGCCGGACTCGATGACTATCGGAAAATCGGGGACGGCAACAATTCCCTTTCCGGATGGACACTTCCGGTCGCTCTTCCGCGCAAATCTTCGCCTAGCGATCGACCACGCTTTTTCATTTCACGCCCTGAAAACCAGACATTGTAAATCCTATTTCCCTTGTCCGAAACTGACGAAAGACACGCCCAAAGAAATCCTAAAAACCTGCACTTTCCACCTCGACTCGACCAGACATTCATATCAATTAATTAATATTTCAACGTATTAAATTATCTCACCCAGAGAAACGTTTCAAGCAACGAGGATAGGAAAAGACGATTTATGAAATTAATCCTGGACGTGTAAAAAAAAAATAGGCAAAGCGCTCGAGAAGATGAGACGTGAAAATTAAGAGTAATTTTTGGAAAATTGTAAATTGGAGTAAATTTGGGCTGTAAGAGAGCTCGAAGATGAGGACGTAATTCCCTGGATTTTAATGTCTTAATTTTTTAACGGACGTCCAATTAGGGTAGGACTTTTCCCTCACGCCTTGAGAAACGTGAATTTCTATAAAACAGGAAATCTGGATTTGAGGACTTATATATTTTTTTGATCAACTTTTTAACCGCGGATTCGGAGATTTTATTCCAGCTCGTTTTCACCGACACTGCATTCGCCACTTCACTAGTGATTTTAGGTCGAACCTGAATTTAAACTTAATATTTAAAACCAGAGATTGTTTCCGAGGTGAAGGTGGGTTTCTCTTCCAGGCCCTTCTCGCGAAGAGCACCTCTCGAGATGAGAAAAAATTGAGGAGAGGGCCTGATACCAGGTTTTCTCTTATCAGCACCCTTGAAGGGACTCCTGGGGAACTTACTGCAGAAGCAGATGCACCTGCGACCCCACCACTTGGTTTTTAATAAGGAGAAAAACAGGACATTCCACAGGCTGTCGCTATCACGCTGACCAGACTGAGCCACTTTGCAGTCGGGCACGTTTTCATAGAGTAAGCGCTGAAGAAGAGAGGGGAAGGCTGATCGAATGACTCTCGCTTCTATAGTGTATGCTTCTGACACCATGTCGGGATTATGCTGCCGACTATATGCGAGCTGAAATTAAGTCTTCGTCGTATTGTACAAGCTGGCTACATCTTAATCCGCGGTTAAGACCTGCACTCGGTTAAAGCGGCTGCAATGTCTCCGACTCTCAAAATTTCTGAGGGATTAAAAAAAAAAAAGGAAATACTTGCCCTAGAATAGTGTATGGAAGAATATCTGGTGGAGGTGTATAGCGGATTAATTGTAAAGCTGTCGGAGATTGATTGATAGGGAAGGAGGCACCCTGTGTACGTGTACGTACGTACGTGTACCGTGTACATGCTCTATACACCGTAAAAGACATTTACAGTGTATCGAAAATTTAATCCTACACTCCTGATATTTTATTCGAGTACTCCCTCTTTTAGTACGTACTCGTGTCGAATATAGTGCACTCGTGCTCGAGATAATGACTCGAGAAGATCCTCAGAAATTTATAGAGTCAATTAAGTCATAAAATTGTAACTCTTCAGCCAGTCGAGCGTCTATTTCTGCCGATTTGTTGGTGGAGGAGATACTTCGATACACGTCTTCAAGGTTCAAGCACCTCGACTTGAGACTTTAAAAAGTTGGACAATTTTACCACTGTACAATTATATTTCTCATTATATTTAACGCATCTCATGTCAAATTTAGAATCGTTATTTAACAAAATTCGGACGAATGTAATAGGGGGAATTATTTTTGCATGAAATTTCGATAAAAGGACAAGAGAAATTTGGCGAGGACAGTTCTGCCTACGTTCCTCCTCGAAATCGAACGCTCCTTATTGTTCGGTACCCTTCGGCCGTGTAAGTCGATGAAAAAAGGAGAAAAAAGGAGAAAAAATCTCGGAATGGATTCTCGCAAACATTGTCAGACCCCAATGGGTGTGTTCGTTACGACATCTCGTATCCTTTATTGGACGTGCTTGATTTCGCAACCCACGCGAATCCCTCGTTTCTGGACTCCTTCCTCGAGCATTTCGGCCTTGCGACTTTTCCCTGGGATAAGAAGAATAATCCGCCGATCGTTTACGTACAGTGTGCGACACAAGTGTGCAACTTTCGATTACATGCAGATTTAAATAGCTCTTCCACTCAGAATCCTTCGAAGCGTCGTCCCTCTTGACAAACCTGGAAAATAATTTTTTTTTACTTTCAGGGGAACGAAAGAAAAGAGAAACATCCCGCAAAGGGAAGGGAGACGAAGAAGAGAAAGAAAGGTTCCTATCTGCAGTTCGAAGATGCCATTATTATTATTAATGAATTAAAAAAAGAATCAAATTTGGGAATTCATCCTTTAGAGGACTCTGAGAGCGGCGCGCGCAGGAGCGGGCCTTGGTACGGCGCGAAGGTGTAAGAGCGCGCTCAGTCTGCCGAGCGACTTCGCGGCGAACGGACGTGTGTTGTGTATTTGTATCTCGAAGGATCGGTTCTCGTCCGGCCACAAGTTTCACGTTTCTCCAAGGAGCCCCCCCACTGGCCTTATCCAAAGTGAGTATGGATTACACGATCGGGTTACTTCCTGCTTCGCAGGATCCTTCGATTAGTTCCAATAAATGGAGCAAAAGGAGCGCGGAATGGTCGGCTCATGCGAGCACGTGCTTTCTCAGGATAAGTGTACCGCAATACCCGTTAAATTTCCAGTTCAAAAACGTATTTGGCCGATACTCTTTCACGATCCTCGATTATTCCTCAGGATTATTTCATTTTCTTGCGGTGTGATATGTGTCCAGCTTATTCGGTTTTATAAAATCATAAATAAATAAAGAATAAGTAACAAATTATTATATACGATGATTTAATATGTTGGGGGTAAAAAATGGTCCCTATAAATTGCCGGTGTTTATCGATATGCTCTTCGACCACCATAAGTGGTCGCCGATATGAGAAATTTCGCACGGGGCGCTGCGATTGCGACATAAAGCTGTCTTTACCTTATCTGGTAAGATTCTGTAAATCATGCCCCAGGCACTGGTAGAACGCGTTACGTGACGTACACTTTGAGGTCGCATTTCTGGAAATGGCCGGTCTCCCTGCGATTTCTTTCCCTCGAGGAATCGAGGATCGGCGTCTGTACGAAGAAAAAAATAATCACATTGCATTGGTCGGTTTTACTGTAACTTATTATATATACTCGTCAGTCGGCGCTGCATGTAACGTATTTATACATAACAGGGGGATGAAGCGATTTATTTTCTTCAAAGATCTCGAAAATTGGCACCTGTATAAAAAAAAATCACGGTTAGCGAAAAGGTTTTCTATAGATACCTGCATGACGCTCTCGATGACTTCACTCGCAGAGAAGAGAAATATCGGCGTAATCTCTTTTTAACTTCGCTTATGTCATATCCCCCTATTATTTGTGAGGCAACAATTAGGAACTCTGGAAGTCCTCTGGCAAGAATTTTCTGGAGATTAAGAGTCGCTTCCACTTCGGATTACATGCCCACAAGGTCGTCGACTGATTTATGCATCTCGGTGTAACAGCATCTGGGACACACCTCATTTAACTACTTTTGTCTGCATAAATACTTCCTCGTCGGTATCGATTGGGGGTTGAAACGAGAATGCAGAGTATGTAAAGTATGTAGAGTATCTAGAGTATCTAGAGTATTTGAAGTACATCATCGCATTTACAAATGCCCGTACACCGTATCGGGCGCTCGTAAATTACGACCCGAACGCCAATTCAGAGAGATTCCCTTTCGCAATGACATCAATATCTTTTTAAAGATCACTGACACAAAAGTCAGGGGAATGCAAATCGGAACGTGACTCAGGTCGATCGCAAGATGTCATAAAAGGCGCGGCGAGGGAAGTTTCCTGGTAGAGGCGAGATTTGCCAGATAAACGCAAGCAAATTAACAAATCGTGGGAATCGTAACTGTCAATGGTCTCGATAAGGTCGGGATTTTACTGTAGTTTAGGAATTTATCGATAACATTAGTTTCGCGTTGACTAAGCATTGTAACGATTTGTTAAAGTCTCGGAGGCATTCCGTGCGGCCGAACGCACGCGACGAGACTTTGTATAGATTTTCATCCTCGCGTGACATTGTCGAAAATTCTGCGTTATCACGTGGGCGAGGCAGAACATCCGAACCGATTTTTGCTCCGCATACGATTCGCCTCGTTCTCGTGGGCGAAAGCCCGCCATGGGCATGCTCTTATATGGGAACCATGACTCGTACGTGTCTTTGAGATTCGAGGCCACGTATCGCGCAATCCGCGACCGAGATCCAGGATCGACTTATTTCCCTACGAAAAGTAGAAGTAGTCCCTAAGATAAGTTTTCGCTAATTATCGGTCTTGATTTCAGGTAGGAGTTCTAAAAGAAGCTGGTTTCACAAAGATACAATGGGCGGCATGACGCAGAGACCGTGGACCCCGACCAAGAGGAGAGGACCCATCGCCGCCGAATTCGGCAGTCCTGGGCCAGCTTGCGTCACTTTACCACCGATGACTGGTACCTATTATCGAGATACCTTTTAACGCGTTATAATGAATTTTTATCAATTAATTAAATAACGCGTTATCCCCTTCCCAGGCAAGCCCGTGTCGGAGTCTAAGCGAGGCAGGGCGCCGGCGTTTTCGTTCGGTAGCAGGTAATATTATTAATATCGTTACTTGACCCAGGGACAACTCGGCGTACTTAATTCAAGCCTCCCTTGTAACGTTAATTTATGCTCGATGATCTGAATTCCCGTTTTAGGCACAGCAACAAGAACGAGAGTCCTGGTCCGGGTCCTGGACAGTACAACGTCTCAGGTCTCAGTGCAAAGGGTGAGTTCCTTTCCAGATGACTTTTCATCCTCCTGGTATTCTTTGGATTTTGATTTTCAATAAAGAAATGTTGATCTTCGAGGAAGATCGGGAATATTAAAAAAATATGTAAGATGAACGGTACCTCGTGAAAAGCCAGGCGGGTTCGCTCTGGTCTGGAGGTCAGTAGCATTATCGACCAAACTCGTCGGAGGTATCAGTGCACAGGAATTGATGTAACCCATAATGGAACAGCCTTAGACTACAAATTCCTCCGCATTTCTCCATCTAACCAACGATCGTGGCCGGGAATTCACGAAACCGATGTCGTGACTCGCTTTGCACTGTAACGTAAAATTAGTCGTTAAAAAATATCGAGTTCATTAACGAAATTGCCGAGTCGGGCGCGATTAGAGTTAGCTAAGAGAAGGTAAACTGGGTATCTCGGCCTCGATTCAATGCCTTTGTCTAGTAATAAAGAGTATGGTGAGATTATCGATAAGGTGGAAAGTATGATATTCTTCTCGATTTCAGGAAAGGACGTCGCACCTGCCGCCTCCTTGCACGGGAGGACGAAATCCGCGAAACAAGAGTACACTCCTGCACCTGGTGACTATAATCCTGAGAAAGCTGTGAAGATCATCGCCGACAGCTCGCCAAAATACTCCTTCGGCATCAAGACCCATACCGAGAAGACCAGCACCACACCTGGTAAGGTGTTAGGATAAGAGGCTAATTAATATATCAATGAAATATCCAGGGATAGACAAACTTGGGTAGATCGGGGTTTTAGTATAAAACGAGAAAAAAAATTATCTTTCCAGACACTGAGTTAGAATCGGCACTTGCGACCTCGAAATTACCTTTGATCAATTTTCCCTTCAGATTGGAGGCATAAATTTGTGCGGTTTTTTTTTTATTAACGAATGTGAACGGAAAATCGCTAATCAATTTTTCTCCAACGTAATCATTGAACGTAGGTCAAAATCGACACTTGCGATTTAGAGAATATGTTCGACATATTTTTCTCTTGTACTTGTACGGGCTAAAGCATGACTTATTTTATTTTTTGTACAATTTGAATGAAAAAATCGAACGAACCGATGCCTCAATCTGGATATGTTTATACGCGGTTTCACGTACCAGGGGGATTTGGTGCGGGTGTAAAAGAAAAAGACCACGTGTGTGTATATATACATATGACATTTTGTACATGAATTTACGTTCCGGCATGTAGCTCCTGGAGATTATGTCCCCGAAAGCGTGAATCTGGGAAAAGCTCCCGAGTACAGTTTTGGGATAAAATCGGTGTTGGATAAGCCGAGCGAAGTCCCTGGTAAATACAGAAAATATAGTTGCTGGTTAATTAATTATTCCCGATTACGAGTAACGAGCCATTAACAGCCAGGCTTAGTTAACAATGCCCGTGGGCCGAGTGAGTAATTCACTAATTACAAGGGAATATAACACGTAACCTTAGATAACTAAATCACCTGTAAATAACATTATCATTCCATTATTTATCTATTATTTTTCTTTAAATCATCAGTTATCCAGGGTTGCGTGAAATCGCGAAATCGAGCGACTTTGCGAGGTAATTCGTTGAAATAACTCGAATGTAACGAAATTGCGAGGAATATCTGATTATCCTGTCTCCACTTAAGACCGAAAATCACGATAGGTACCCAAGGCGTAATTTATTCCTGGAATGAGTGCACAGACACGCTCTTATTTGTACTAATTTCCGGATGATAAGTCAACTGACTTTTAATTCGGCGAATCAGCCATTTTCTTGGCTTTTCGGTCCAATATCTCACGATTTTTAGGCCAGCGGAAAAGGACGATCTTTTATTCGGCGTAGACCTTATTTCCCGTTGTCTAAGGCTGTCGAAGTTGCACATACCTCGTCGTTATCACGGATCATCGAGATATCACTGCCTATCGTCGAATCATGGGGCGTTATCACGGCGAGCATCATTAATCATGGTTTAGGTATTCGGTTTTATTTCTGCAATAACCGTGCGACCTCTGCGACTCTCGTTGCATGATATCTTCCTCTGACAAGAGAAATTCCATCGTTATTAAATATTAAATCTGCATATATATCTGTAAACGTCATGCGCTTCTCATGTATGTAATCATCGTGGCATGTCTCATGTGTGTAACCGTATTGTACGTAATCGTTATTGTATTTAATCGTCGAGTGCATCTTGCGTATACGATCTGTATGTAATGTGCTTCTCGTGTATGTGACTTTTTTGTAGTACTGCTTTTGTCGAGGTGTTGTTTAACGTTTAACGATCTCAGCTGACAAGTGGGATGTTGCGGTCTGAGAATCGGCAAGGAGAGTGTCCTCGTGCTTGATCGGCTTTGATAATTATTGGCGTGGTATTTTATGAGTGAAAATGCTTGATAGCACGTTAACCGTCTATTGTCATTCCCAGCACCCGGTAGTTACTGTCCGGAGAAAGTGAATCTGGACAAGGCTCCGCAATTTTCATTTGGCGTGAAAAGACCTTCGGAAAAGCCGAACGACACGCCCGGTAAGAGATTCCCTATATCGTTTTATATACATTTTATTTATCGATTAATTTATTTACTTTTATTTCGACATTTCTAATAACGTTGCAATATGAAACCACGTTTTACAGCACCTGGCACGTACTGTCCGGAGAAGGTAACCCTTGACAAAGCACCGCAATTTAGTTTTGGCCTTAGAACGTCCATCGACAAGCCCAACGAGACGCCAGGTAAATTTTTTTTATCTTGCATTTTCTATTTTATTTAATTCCTTGAAGTGATTTCTGAGGATTCGATTCGTTGTCGCAGCACCTGGGACCTATTGTCCAGAAAAAACGAACCTTGACAAGGGTCCTCAGTACAGTTTAAGCGGTAAAGGAGCTCCAGAAAAACCGAACGATGTGCCAGGTACGACAGACCTCCTTTTTTCATGAACGCGTCCCCTTCTTTCGAGCGCTTCTTTATCTCCGATGATTTTAAACCTCGTTGGAATTGATCCATGGGGATAATTACAGCGCCAGGCACCTATTCTCCGGAAAAGGTGAATCTGAACAAAACGCCGCAGTACAGTTTCGGGGTGAAAGCTTCACTCGATAAGCCTATCGACACCCCAGGTAAGGATCGTTTGATTATTCAAATGCAAATAGCGATTTCAATGCGAAATTCGTCACTTTTTGCGTCGACTTTCCTGCAGCTCCTGGCGATTACGCCCCGGAGAAGTTCAACCTGAACAAGGGTCCAGAATTCAGCCTGAGTGGAAAAGGAAATCCTGAAAAATGTAACGACGTCCCAGGTGAAATCTCTATCCAACGACTAGACTTTCCAGGAGTGTTGCGAAGCGATCGTTCATAAGATTTCCTTTTTTTTTTTCATTTTCTTCCCAGCGCCAGGCACGTACAGCCCTGAGAAATTCAACCCCGATAAAGGACCTCAGTACAGTTTATCCGGGAAAGGGATGGCCTCAAAACCGAACGAGAATCCAGGTTTGTAATAATTTTATCGACAGGAAAATCGACCACTTTTTAGGATTAAGCATCGTTATCGATAACTTCAGGCCTTCCAGAAGTGCTGCAAAGCGGTCAATCTAATGGAAATTGATCCTTTTATTTTCTCCTTAGGGCCCGATGCGTACAGTCCTGAGAAATTCAACCCCGATAAAGGACCACAGTACAGTTTATCCGGGAAAGGGATGGTCTCAAAACCGAACGAGAATCCAGGTTTGTAATAATTTTATGGGTAGGAAAATCGACCACTTTTTATGATTAAGCATCGTTGTCGATAACTTTAGGCCTTCCAGAAGCGTTGCAAAGCGGTTCATCTAATGGAAATTGCTCCTCTTATTTTCTCCTCAGGACCCGACGCGTACAGTCCTGAGAAATTCAACCCCGATAAAGGACCTCAGTACAGTTTATCCGGGAAAGGGATGGTCTCAAAACCAAACGAGAATCCAGGTTTGTAATAATTTTATCGGCAAAAAAATCGATCACTTTTTAGGATTAGGCATCGTTGTCAATAACTGTAGGCCTTGCAGAAGCGTTGCAAAACGGTCAATCAAATGGAAGTTACTTCTCTTATTTTCTCCTTAGGACCCGATGCGTACAGTCCTGAGAAATTCAACCCCGATAAAGGACCTCAGTACAGTTTATCCGGGAAAGGAATGGCCTCGAAACCGAACGAGAATCCAGGTTTGTAATAGTTTGGTCGACAGGAAAATCGAGCAATTGTTAGGATTAATCATGAAGTACCCTAATCGTAATCAATCTTAAACGAATCTCGGTAGGCCCGGGTCGATACTATCCCGAGAAAGTAGATCTGGGACATAAACCTTATTACAGCTTTGGTAAAAGGACGCCACTGTATAAGGCTAGCGATACCCCAGGTAAAGAGTGTAGACTAATATCTCGTGTCGTGTTAACGTGTCTCGTGTCTGTGGAAAGTGTCTCTTCAAAGAGTCACTCGTCACCTGCAATTTCTCTCGCACAGTTAATAACATCGCCTCGACGTCGCTAGGACATCTTTTAAGTGTCGTTTGCCTCCACCCTGAGAAGAAAAAATTAGTTGGCCGAAACAAATATCTATATCGTTATCTGAGTCATGAGTCGCGTAAAGTATTAATTTGGATATTTCTTCGAGTCAACCAACTTATTTTTTTTCTCAGTGCAGTTCGTGCGTCTCTCACCATTTTTTAATTAATTCCTCACTGTACACCGCCTTTAAGCCATTGTCACGTAATACCTCGAGTGTCTTCACTTTCGTGTTGCTCGTGCTGTGTCGGCAAGGGCTACTTTTAAGTTAATAGATGGAAAATAAAGTTCTTCTGGGAAAAGTAGCTCTTGTAAAAGTCGAAGGGACTCTGTAACAATGTTTTTTATGTCCTTGGTCCGCAGCACCTGGAACTTATTCCCCGGAAAAGGTGAATCTGGACCATTCACCTCAGTACAGCTTCGGTATAAAACCAGCTGGTGAGAAACCGAACGGTGTCCCAGGTAAGGAGAGAAAATTTATTCAGAGCGCACAGCTTCCGCTTGATGTACATTGACACGTCTCGTGCTGTTCGTTGTAGCTCCTGGCACCTATTCCCCTGAAAAGGTGAATTTAGATAGAGGTCCGCAGTTTAGTTTAAGCGGAAAAGGACCGGCGGAGAAGCCGAACGATATCCCAGGTATCGTAGAAAAAAATACTGCAGGGATGTATGCGATACGTATATTGGATAAAAAAAATATTTAAAATCTATATTGAGGGCAGGTCGACTCGAGACCTTATTAACTCGCGTACACGTGATTTCGACTAAACGGGAACTCATGCGATACTTTCACGTTGAAGGACCTGGAGATTACAGCCCGGAGAAAGCCATGATGCTGCTCGAGAAAGCTTTCCAATTTACTTTCGGGTTTAGACCCCCCATGGACCGATATAACGATGCCCCAGGTAATCCGGTCGGTCATTAGAGTTTGCCACGTCCCTTACAAAGGTCGCAAAGGCTGATTCTGTTTAGTGAAGAGATGGAAAGTGGTTTAGTACTAAGATTTCTCTCTAATGGGGTTTCTTTCTTCATGGTAGCTCCTAATGTCTACACCATCCCCTCGGCCCTGGGAGGCACCAAGGAGAGCGACAAGAAGACCGCGCCTGCATACTCGATTTCCGGAAGACAGAAGGTCTTCACCGACGATCGCGTTCTGGTTCCTGGACCTGGTTCCTACGAAGCTGTGAAACCGGATGCTGTTAGGGCGAAGAGTCCTGCTTACAGCATCAGCGCTCGTTTCCAGCTACCCAGTGATCAGTCCAAGATCCCTGGACCTGGGGCACATTGCCCTGAAAAGGTATATCCTCGTTCTCTTCGGGTTTTGCATTTACATTTGTGAGAAGATATCCCGATCATGCTCTTTTTGATTTTTTTTGTTTGATGTCATTTAATTTTTCTTTCTTAATTTCAGGTCCAGTTAGACATCCCTCCAGCTCACACCTTCGGCATCAGGCACTCCCCTTACGCCTGCAACTTAAAAGACACGGTATATTGATTTAAATCCTAGACAAAGACGTTCTGCGACGCATGACGGAATATATCATCCACCTTTGCGTGACCTTAACTGGTTATTAGGAACATGGAAATTCCAGGGATCTCGGGTTAATTCTTTTTTCTTATACCTCCTACGTTTCATTTTAAACTATCGAACGTGTAGACGAACGCGAAGAGACCGTTTGTGGGGAATAGGTGAAATCGCTCTGGAAAAACGCTTTGAGGACTTTTGCTGAATCCTAACGCTCTATTTAGCAGGAAACAAGGTTCACCTTTAAAGACGCACTTTTTAGTTCACGAAGACAGTTCTTTGACGTGGAAAGACGGCAAGTTGTGACAATTTGTTACGTTAGGATAAGGTTTCTACGGTGTTACCCTATAAGTAGGATACGTGAATTTCTGGTGTACACTTTCGTGAACTTTAATCATCGTATTAAACTTGTAGGATCAGGTACGCTACTTGCAAATATCAATGAAGCTCTCTCGCCCTGTGAATAAAAGTAATATTTTATTAACTACATTGCGCCTCATTAATTTACCAGTAGTTATTTAGTCTTCCGAACGAGAGCATGCGGTGCATAACTGGAGTGTTTGTTTAAATTCATCACGTCTGCAAATGTTTATTAACTCTCTAATTTTGTCTACTTAATTAACATAATCGAGGCTGAAATGAAAATTGCATCAGTAGAGACATTACTATGGTTTTATCGCAGGGAATTCGACATTCAGGTTTGTGATAATTATGTGTATAAAAATATAATGATTTATTAACTCTTATCAAAAATAATAAAACATGCCTTTTAGTTACAAGAATAAAGGAATCACCGGTCTTAAAGTGTCAAAGGATTTTTTAATTCCACGGTGTTAAACGTTTGTTCAATGCTAAGGATTCTTTTCAAAAATACTTTGCATATAAAAGTGAGTGTAAAATCACACGGATAAATGCATGCTTATATATAGTATATACATAACGTAATAGTTCATCACGGTAGAAATATAGATACACGTATTCGATATTGATATTTTGGTTAAACTTTTTTGCAGTTTGGATATTAGAAGATTCACAGCCATTAAGTGTTGGATCGAGATGATTCCAAGTGATGCCATGATTACTTCTGTAGTGTGCTAAAAATTCAGTGGTGACTTTCGTTAGTCTTGTCACTAGGTTTCGTATTCTTGGAGGTGTAAACGCATTGTCCAGCGATCCACGTGGAAATTACTTCTAGATTCTCATTCAGTAAAACGAAATCGGCTTCAGCTCCAAAATTTAAATTGCCTTTATCAGCCTCGATGCCCAGAGCTCTTGCTGGGTGCAACGTGGCAGCTTCTAAAGCTTCAACCGTCGAACAGCCTACAGATATTTAATAACATTTATTAATATTCACTCATTTCTTTTATTGATATTGTATGCACACCTGTGGCTTCTTTGAAGAATCGAACACTTCTAGACATGTCTGCGGTACTGCCGCACAATGTATTAGTACCAGCAATGTATGCACGACCAGCATTCACTTCGATATCGAGTTGTCCCAGTCGATGTAAACCTTCTTCAAGACCGAGAGCAGATATTGCATCTGTTACAAGCACTAGTCCTTTGTTCAGACAAATTATATGTATTTAATTTGATTTAAAAGTAGAAGAAAGAGATTTTGACGCTTACTTTACAGACTGCACGGAATAGCGATACTACCTTCAGAGTGAGTGCGGTGAGCAATTCGCAGAGCAGCAGGATGAGTGTGGACACCGTCAGCAATTATGCCGAAATGAACTATTCTCTCGGGAGGTATTTGATCTGACGTTAAAAGACCCACCAATCCCGGATCTCTATGATGAAACTGCAAAAAGGGTATCTATTATGTACTTCCATGCTTTTGTTACGACTGTAATTCAGTAACTATTGCAAATTAAACAACGAAATATATTTAATATCCATGTCAAAATTTATATAAGCATACCGGAAGCATCGCATTGAATAAATGAGTAATAAATGTAGCACCATGTTGAACGGCCTCTTCTCCCTCTCGTAAATTAGCTACAGAATGCCCTAAGCAATAAATATGTTGAATAAAAAGTGCTGAAGTACTAATTTAGTAGTAGATATTAAAATATGAGTTACCTAGGGAAATTTTTATACCCCTTGTCTCTAATTCTGTAATAACAGACATAGCGTTCGGCAGTTCTGGTGCCAGTGTAATATAACTTATGTTCTGGAGATCGCCATACATATCCGTGACCGACATGAAGCCCTGAAGAAGGTGGGACATTTATTAATTTATCATTGTATCATTTACTGTTAACAATTAATCACACTCTCTGTACCTTATCCAATTGTTTTATATAATTTTCTGGGTGTGCTCCTTTTTTATCAGGGCTTATAAATGGCCCTTCGACGTGCACTCCCAGGATAGTAGCTCCGTGGCTGCCACCGTTTCTCTTCTTTATTTTTGGTATGACTTGTCTGTACGTTTCCGTAGGTGAAGTTACCAAAGTGGGACAAAAAGCTGTCACCCCGTACTCCAAAAGCCCCTTTGCAACTTTATTAATTCCTCCCTCTACGTCATCGACGTTATTTGAAAAGTCTATTCCGAATCCTCCTTTAAATAATAAACAAATCGTTTAGAATTACTATTTACAAATAATTTAAACCGGGCATTACAAAGGTAATACTCGGATCCCATTAAAATTATCACGTGTCTTAAGATGTACCGTTTATTTGTAGATCTATGTACCCTGGTGAAATCAAAGCTCCTTTGCAGTCCACTTCGACGTTAGACATGACCTTCTCGTCGTAAAACAATTTCTCTGGATTCACGACCCTTCCGTTCCTGACCCACAGATCTTCCAGAACAATTTTTCCATGGCGCAGAATTTGACAGTTGTGAAATTGCTTTAGTGTCTCGGTGCTTGCCGTCATTTTTTACTTCCTGGAATGAAGTTTCGAAAAAGTCTATCACAATAAAGTTAAAAGCCGCCGTTAATGGGAGTGGTTGATAACGAATTATCAACCACTTATCGTTCATATCTTCAGGGCCACGTGTCAGTGTGTCAAGTCAATGAACTTTATACAATGAATCCTGACATTTTTAGAAATGTGTTGAAATTAAACAAAATGAAGACTCGGCGGCTTTAAAAATCTTGAGCCACGATCATGCAGACCGATGTCACACCTAGTGCGGTCCATCAACGTGTCATACTCGAAAAAGCAATCGGAGCTTTTCATTCATAACCCGCTGCGTTCTATGTGACAACTGCAGAAACATAAAGTCTTATATTCATGGAATTTACATCACGGAAGAAACTTGTAAAGTAAAATTCCTAGTTATTTACTGTACAAAATTACGCAAATTACCTAGGGTATTTTATTTATTCAATTCATTGCAGCCCTCGGTGGAGAATGCGGAAAGCATGTGCATTCAAGATGGCACCAAGATAACAAGCGAGCTCGAGAACTTATGTACTTGCAGTACCTGATGTATAATAAACTGTAAAATAATTAATGTAATAAAGAAACTTACTGAACAATAACAATGAGTACGTTTAATTAGACGAGCATGTCTAGCAAACCCTCTAATCGCCTATTCCTCCTCAAAATCACTCGTAGACCTAAGTTAATATTAATTTCCTTGCGTTCGGAGAAAACTGCGTGCCATCTCCTCGGTTGTCCTGTGATCCTGTTAGAAATCGGAATTTTCAACCCCTAAAATTTTTGCCCGGGAGAACCTCCGTGCCACCTCCTCGGTTATCCTATGATCCTGTTAGAAATCGGAATTTTCAACCCCTAAAATTTTCGCCCGGGAGAATTCCGTGCCACCTCCTCGGTTGTCCTATGTTCCTGTTACAAATCGCCAGAGATGGAATAGGATCACAGGACAACCGAGGAGGTGGCACGGAATTCTCCCGGACAAAAATTGTAGGGGTCGAAATTTCCAATTCCTAGCAGGATCATAGGACAACCGAGGAGGTGGCACGGAGCTTCTCCCGGGCAATAATTTTAGGGGTTGAAAATTTCGATTTCTAACAGGATCACAGGACAACCGAGGAGGTGGCACGGAGGTTCTCCCGGGCAATAATTTTAGGGGTTGAAATTTCCGATTTCTAACAGGATCACAGGACAACCGAGGAGGTGGCACGGAGTTTCTCCCGGGCAATAATTTTAGGGGTTGAAATTTCCGATTTTTAACAGGATCATAGGACAACCGAGGAGGTGGCACCGAGTTTCGTGCCTTACATCTACGAATGATTTTCAAGGATCAGGAATAGGCGATTAGAGGGTTTGCTAGACATGCTCGTCTAATTAAACGTACTCATTGTTATTGTTCAATAAGTTGCTTTATTACATTAATTATTTTACAGTTTATTATACATCAGGTACCGCAAGTACATACATATGCCCTCGAGCTCGTTTTTTACCTTACGTTTACGTTTCCACCACCAGGTTGCACCATGTACACGAGGAAGCCATTCATGACCGCCAGTGTACTGGAGATTTGGGAGTGGGGAGGTATGTTGCAGATTTAAACAATAAATTAATGGGAGATGTTTTCCTGTATTCGGGTAGGCGGTCCAATGGGAGTAAACAGGAGTCAACAAAACACAGCAGCAATGCGAGCACAGTTCAGTCGGCTGCAGTCGGTTACTTTCGCATTGGCTCGTCTTCCTTCGGCCCCCTCCGGGTGGCTCCGCGTTCGCTCGTTCTCCGTGGGCACGCCCATCGGCGCCATGGGCGCCATCGGCGGCTGCCGGGAAGGGAAGTCAGCAATCGGCCGTGGAGCAGCACGATGAGTGCTCGCAGCGCGTTTTAGGCCAAGTCTCGCACCGATTTGCGAGAAAGCATCGAAGGGGAACATCGAAAGTGTCAGCCGGGTGGCGCGAGTCGCGAGTGTCGGGTCGGCTTTGCGGCTCTCAGGTGACGTGGATATTCACGGGCCTGGCGGCCGCTCGAGGGGCCTTTTCTTCGCCGCCTCGAGAACAGGATTTACCATCCGTCGCACCGCTCGCGTCGCAGGAATTTTCGGTAAGTGAGTGAGAGAAAACCGGCGGCGCTCGAGCGATCCTTCGACCTGCGTCGACGCGTTAATCGAGTTCGGCGTAAACGTCGAAATAATCGACACGGTTTAGGCCTCCGCGAGTCTCTTCCTCGAACGATCGCCGCGAACGGTATGCGCGACCAGAGATTCTATTCCGTAGCTCGTACGGAATTTTTTTTTCCCATGAAAAATCTCGCCTTGCAAAGTCGCGTCCATTGGTGTCAATATTTTAATGTCGTTTACGAAACTGTCAATTTCGCGGTGAGAATCGAGTTCAAGCCACGAAGACAAATCTGGGGACAGGTGGCTGTCGATCGCGCATCATAACCTCTTAGACTTGCGTATCATCATTTCTTAGAGTCGCGGGGGCTCATGGGACTGAAACGAACGATTAAATGAGGTGCAACAACGAACTCGATGTCGAAAATCCATCTTATAGGCGTTAGTCGAGAAAACGTTTACACCCTTTGGATTTACGCAGCTCGGTAGCGTTCGACGCAGGGTCCTCGGTAGCTAACTTCGCGTAACATAACCTCAACGCTCGCCGAGCGCAGAGAACGGCACGGAACCTCGGCCGTGGTTTCTCAGAGAACCGGGAACGGGAATTCCGGTTCGCCTCGCGTTCCATTTCCGTTTCTTCTTTCTTATTTTTTAAACCAGGGCATCTACGCGACTTCTTCGTCAAAGTCTCCCGAAGAGCGGGGGAAATCGATGCGATATCGCGATCTAAGATCGCTTACCCATCCGATCTGTATTCCGTTTGGTCGAATCTTTACGTTAACCCGAAGTACATTCCCCAATCGCGAAAAAGTATGTTACAGGTAAATGCGCATGAATGTCAAGTAACGATAATAAGTTGCGATTCGTTTACGCAATGCGAATTATCTTATCCGTGACCCGTTTAGCTGCTCGGCGAGTCTAACGGAATCCAGGTATTCGTCAAAACAAAAAGATGTCGAGGACACAGTCTAGGAGAGAGTAAACAAATGAGCCAGAGCTTTAGGAATGTTTCGTCACGGCGTAAACGCGATATTCCGATAGAACGTTATACGTTATCGATTTATTTTTAGACTTCGCCGCAAAATTCATTTTCTGTTAGACTCGTCTTTAAGGGGATGTGAAAGTGGTGACTCGTTTATGAAACTTTTCTCCGAACTGGGTGTATTAAATAGTTTCAAACTTTACTACGCGAGTCCGGAGGCTATAAGGAAGGTCCTGACCTCCATGAAATTAAAATTATTTATGAATGAATTTAAGAAAAATTGAAATTTGAAGATGTATCGGGAACTTTTATAGCCTTATATTCGTTGCGGAATCGAATTCGAAGATAATTGAAATTCGATAGGGGGAATTGGTACTTTTGGGTTAATTGCCCTGGAAGTTAATTTGTCAAGGTGTACCTTGGGGGCAATCCGGCAGAGCAATGTTTTCTACGTGCTATAGTGGAAGTCGTCCTCCGTGACGTTTTACGCTTGCACTTGCCCCCCACTCTTCGTCGGGAGACTCATTTAGTACGCAATAAATGCGGACCCTCGTATCTCGTGAAGCAATTTCGCGAGGAAATGACGTTCCTTACGTTAATGCTCGAGAGACCCGAAGAATTGCGCCTCCAGGGTTTGGCGTCCCTTGCCGGGATTTTCGTCATTTCGTAAAACGTAGAGATCTCTCGGCAATCCGAGGCCTCTCTAAGTTATCAAAAATCGAATGCTGATCGCTAACCGAGCGATTTTTCATTTCTCAAAAATCATGATCTTTATCAACCCTGCCGAGCTTTGGAGGTCGAGGGGTTATAAATGATAAAAAGTGCACCGATCCGGGGCTGATAGTCGCGATAACGCTAAGTATATCGGCGACGATATCCCGCCTTCCACGTTTCTCTCTCTCTCTCTCTCTCGAGGGACGTCCTCTTGGAAGTGGAAATCGATAATCCGAGAATCTGGGTCTCAGCTTACCAAGAGGCATCCTCTCGAGCTTTGGGCGGACGTAATATTTCCGCTATCTTCAGGGTCACTCGAGTGGGGTAAGGGTTTGGGATTTTACGGCCGGTCGAGAATGCGACCTGTTAGTTTGTCGGACGGAATTCACCTTCGAAATGGGATAGGTTAGGGCATCATCGAATTCCATCCCAGTGACCTACCAAAGGCGTCCTAAGGTGATACGTAAAGGGTCATTCTATATATACGGAACGTCAAAATATTGAAATATATCACCTTAAGTCGTCTCAAAGTCCAGATCTATCGTTTCGCTAGGGAGCAGGATTATTCCCGACAAGTCAGGGAACTCCGTAGGAGCAAAGTCCGAGGAGTGGGAAGATGGACGCGGTACGAATTTTGGCAGGGATCCAAGTTGCCCCTTAACTCTGGACGCACTTTCTTTCTCTCTCTCTCTTTCTCTTCAAGGAAGCGCAGCGTCGCGTGTGCTCATGGAAATGCACTTTTTTTTTCCCCCCAGTGTCGCTCGTAAATAAAAAAAAAATTTCTGCTCTCTCTGGTGAGAGAAAAGTGGAGAAGGAAGATTAGCGGAGCAAAGATTCATATTTCATATCGTATCGACAGAAGGAATCGTCGAGTAGCAAGAGATCGGCCTTGTCGATCTTGCGACGCGTTGGCGGGGGACACGATCCGAATTCCATCCGATCCTTCGGAGATCGGTGCTTCTTGGCGCTCTCGGCAGGTAACACCTACGTTACCGGAGATGGGAGAGAGAAGGAGAAAGAGAGACGCCCACCTGTGTCAACGTTGGCGCAGGTTAAAACGCCTTGGGAGTTTATGTAGGTATGTGGAGCGTGGTGAACGGGTCGGCGATCTGTTGGCGAAATCGGTCGTGCCATTTTCGATCTTACGTTTAACGCTTCTTAACGTTTCCCTCGGACGGTCGGTTCATCCCGAGATACGTGAAAATGATTTTTTTAAATGCATATTGGGATGAAATGAGGTATCGATGGAAGGAACGTGGAATTACCCCCGAGAAGAATCCAACACCGTGTCGCTGCACCTGTCATAAATTGGGTAAATTAGGATTCTATAATGGGAAATGCCCTCGCAAACCCCGGTGGTATTCCGCGCAGCCTACCCACGGTGCCCCTAATGTTTATCTAATTAAGATAATTAAATAATGAGGAATATTCGTGCCGCGGAGAACCGAGCTTTGGTTTCAGAACCGAGCGTTCCCGGTGGAGTAAATAAAATTTTGTTCCGCGGATACATGGCCTGACAATTATCGAATCGTCGTTTCTATCAGAGTCAGTCTTTTTGTTACAGGAGGGAATTTTTGCGCATATCAAGGCACGGTAACGAATATTTTCATCTCGCGAGTCCCTTTATTTTTTCATTTTTGTGAGTACTTAACGACACTTCCGGGAGGAGAGGCGGGGGTTAAGAACGCTGGAAGATGTGAGAAAACCCGGAAAGACTCGGAATATGAAAATCCACCTGTTGTTGACGAAGGTTAGGGACCTAAAGATGCATTTAAGAATGGGCCCCGTGTCTGGCATGGCTTTGTTAAAGTCTTCTAGAGCCTAAGTCGACCGACGACCAACATTTCGCCGCGGAACTTAGGGTAACGGGTCTTCCTAACCTCTGACCTCGGTTCTCGCCTCGATTGGCCACACTGTGAATTTACGTCTAGGGAGACGGAGGCACTCCTCCCTTTCCGTCTGGGTTCCACTGGTCTCGAGGAAATGAATTCATTTCCTACAATGGTTACGGGAGGGACAATGGTTGTGGGAATGACGCGCTGCGGTAGCCAGCCTCGGGTAAAGAATGTGATTTATAACGCGCGTTAGAAATGTATTACACATGCTAGAAATTTATAACGAATTTTTCGACATCGGAGATCGATAGGTTTACCGAAATATCGTTTTCCTTTCCACGGGTCCCTTTTCTCCCGATCGTTCCGTTTCTCTTCCTCTTTCCGTCAAAACGTCCGCCCACATTCCGCTCTAGTTCGGCCGCGCCAGGCTACGTGACCGGAAATTACGAAAAAATCCTGCCCTAGAACAAGAGATTCGTCTCTGAGCCGTACAAAGATTCCTTGGTACTTGCATAGAGAATACAAGCATCGACCGCGGTAACGCACATTATACCAAAGAAATAAAAATTGTTTGTGGAAGAGATTAAAAAAAAAATTAAATTCCACGGGTGTCGGGACTTTCCTCTCGAAGCCTCCACAGTCACGTTGTCAAATTTAAAACGACTCGATACATCCAACTTGGAGAAAAGTTTCATTCGGCGAAATGAAAAATTGAGAAAATATAGTGGAAAAATTGTGGAAAGTCAAGTTTGTTTCCAGTCGATGATCGACGCGTCCTTAAGCAATGGCGATACACGACAATGAGTCACACGGTGACTCGTTGGCACCGAACAGGAGATACCGGCTTTTGTTGCATGATAATAAACGCGTGACGCGCGCTTAGATATCTTCCTGGCTTCTTCGAGCCTCGGAGACCATTAGATCATTCGGCTACCAAAGGAAACAATTCCGTAATCGCGTGTACCGACTGCGCAATCGAGCATTAGCGGCAGAGATAGGCGATCCGATGCTTGCATTAGAAGCAACTTGGACAGTTTTCTGGATAATAATCCCAGTCCATCTCTCACCTTTGCTTCCACCAGGTTAATTGACTGCGTTGTCAGTCGTGGCGCTCCTTTTTTTTTTTTGTTTGCGCATATCTCGGCGTTGGCATGCGCGACACTTGGCTGGGTGCGTGGGTGCGTGCGTTTATCCCAAGACAAGCGACTAATTCCCGAAGCGAGTCTCGACGCCCCGGCGCGTCGACGTGGCCGGCAAGTAAACGCTTCTCGGCTTATCTTTCCTTTTTAAAGCACTCGCGACAATTGACTTTCACCCCGAACGACGAGGATGCACTCCCTCTACGCGTCCGACGGGATTTTCGTATTCCTCGGGAGCATCCCGGTCTCTGGATTAGGTTTCTTTACTCGGCACTCTTCGTACGACCACTCTTAAACGGAGGACTACCGAGCTCTTT